TGCTACTACTACTACTACTACTACTACTACTGCTAATATTACTACTACTACTACTAATTCCACTACAACAACAACTACTGTACTTGCTCGGACAATATAATTTTCGACATTTTGGTTACTTCATAGTATTATAGTCTTTGTTTCAGTTTATTTGCTTTTTAATTCAAAGTAAAGCTTAGTTTGACTGATCGAATTCTTAAGTTCTTGCACACATTTAAACAACGCCAAAAAAATGTACTTAAGTCTCTCATCCCTAGCTTTAGCCACAGCTCCAACCCTAACTTAGACCTAGTTTTAGCCCTAACTTAGACCTAGCTTCAGCCCTAGTACTACTTCACTGAACAACGTGCGTTTGAGAAGAACAAGTAAACAAATGTTCACATTAAACCTTTAGCAGATTTTATAACACTTTTATTATATTATAATAAATTGGTTAATATCTAACTGTATAGTCTTTATTATAATAAAATTCTGTCAACAAAACTGGTTAAAATATCCAAACAAAATAAAAACTGAAAAAAAAACAAAAAGCTAGTTTTACTTTTCAGTATTAATGTGATTTGATTAGTGCTCTTATCTTTAAAAACCGTTTTTTAATCAACATATCCCAAAAACTGCCATTTGTAAACATTTATTCAAGTAAAACCTTTTTTAGTAGTAGAACCTACCTTGTTATTAATACAAAAAAGAGAAGAAAAAAATTTTGTAATACTTGGTCTTCCTTTATTACTTCTAGATCCTTTTTTAGTCCAAGCATGTTGTTTTTTCTTATCAGTTTGGCCAATTTGCTTTTCGAACAGTTCAAAATACAATTTGGTTTGGCTAGTCGGATGCAAGAATGCATCCTTGTCTGATATTGCTTTTTCACTTTCCAAACGTTTGAGATTGTATATGTAGGCAGCGGATGATACTATGTCTCCAATACATAGAATCTAAAGTTAGAAATGCCGTTGAGTAGATAGCAATAAAGACAGATATTACAGCTTAGGCTAGAGCTTAAAAAGCAGGACTAGGTTCACATCAAAGGCTGAGGCTAGACATAAGGAACGAGCCGGTCTTGACCCAACTTTAAGTCGTTCCAGGCCTAAAAATCAACGCCCAGCCCGTTTGCAAGTAAAAAAATTTGGGTCGGACCGTCATGGATGGTCCGATCCAAATTTTTCATAAATTCCTCATGTCTAGCTGAGGCGATCTGAAGCTGATGGTGGGTCTAGACATTTAAGCGAAGGCTTAGACTAAAGGTAGCATAACGTAGGATTAAGGCTTAGATTAAGCTTAAGCTAGAGTTTAGCCTAGGACGCAAGCTAAAAGTCAGGACAGATAGCGCTACGGCTACGCCTATAGTTAGGGATAAGGCTGCGGTTAGGGCTGAGGCTGGGGCTTAAAATAAGGCAAATACTGACTTACATTGATGATAGATATAACAATTGCAAAAGATATGGCAGGCTCCTTAACGTCCACTATGTGATATCGAAAAATTGATGTAGCAGTAAAGTAAGTCAAGTAAAAGCCTGATTGAATTAGTGATATTGGCAGTATTAAACGACTGGTCACATAATTTTCTGATTTTTGAAATGAGTTTGATAAGGTGTAGTTTGAGTAGACGCTAAAAGGTTTATGTATGTAAAAGAGTACAATTATCCAATAACATAATTTCAAATATGGTAAGCACAAAAAGGTAGGATAGGTTATAGTAGGTAGATGTAGTCCTACCTCGTATTCTGTGACTTTTTGCTTCTATACCATAGGGTAAAATCACCAAACGTTAGTATGATTTCGATTGGTAATAAAATAACAAACATCCATTTTGTCTTGTTCATGTTTACCTTGGTACGAGCTACGCAATACGGCAGCCTTTCATGTCTGACATGTCCATAAAAGATATATGTATTAAAGGCAATGATAAACGTCCACTGAAAAATTACAGATATTGTAATGAAATAAGGTTGAGCAGGGTAGAATAAGGTAGAGTAACATCAAGTAAGGTAGAGAACAGTAAGATAATATAAAGTATGGTAAGGCAAGGCAATGCATGAAAGAGAAGGGCAAGACGGAACAAGACGCAGCAGATCATGAGGACAGGACAGCAAATGGCAGAGCAGGGAATAGTAGGAGGAAAGGTTAGAGCGGGGCAAAGAAAAGCAAGTCAAGACAAGGAGAGGCAAGGCAAGGCAAGACAAGGCAAGGAAAGGCAAGGCAAGGCAAGGCAAGGCAAGGCAAGGCAAGGCAAGGCAAGGCAAAGCAAGGCAAGGCAAGGCAAGGCAAGGCAAGGCAAGGCAAGGCAAGGCAAGGCAAGGCAAGGCAAGGCAAGGCAAGGCAAGGCAATTCAAAGCAAGACACGAGTACGGTGAGGTAATCTAGGATAATGTGCAGTACACTTACCGTAATAGCAATACCCAAAATTCCAGAAAATTTCCCTCTTTTCTCATAATCTTCCTGATGTTTCATCGCTGAAAACCGTTCAAAAAAGGCGTAAGCATGAATAAAAACCATGGCTGATATTGGCCATAACTGAGGCCATCTTAATATTGCACACTTCCAAACCGTAAATATATTTGAGCAATATTCTGTGTAGTTTAAACGTATATAAATTGTAAAAAAGATGGTGAAAACGTTGGAAGAAACTTTTGTGAACAGTGATACCCATACGCTTTGGAGAATTAACTAAAATAGAAAATAATAAACACTTTAACAATAAGACGTCTTGGAAATCGGTTGACATAACCTACCCTTACCATTCCAAGCCCTACCTTACCCTACACTACTATACCATACCTTATTCTACCCTACTCAAATTTATCTTACCCTACTCATGATCTTACATATGCCTTACTGCTGCCAAATCAAATACTACTACTCTGCTCCAGTATTACCCTTTTCTACCATACCCCTACTCACTTGAAAATTGTAATGTAAAGAAGAAGTGGGGGACTTTTGTTTCCTATTCAAAGCCATGTAAACCAACATGACCATGGTCGGAATAGATAATATGCTATTTGAAAGCTCAGCTAATAAAACGGCCGTGCTATGTCGATAGTCTTCGGACTCTTCACATAGTTCAGCTGACTGCATTTAAAGCTGTAAAAATGTCAAATTCAATTAAAAAATTAAAAAAATATTTTTTTCAAAAAAAAAATTTTTAAACCGAATGTCACGCTGACTCAATCGTGCTGTGCCCAAAATTTCAACTTAGACTGACAAAAAATCCCAGACAATGTAAAACTGGTGACACAAAAGAGCACAACTAAGCTATGCCTAACCGTCCTTACTAACGCCATATATTTAAAAGTTAACACATCGCATACTGGTTCATTAACTCTTACGCAACATAAAATTATTGTTTTTGAGGTAACAGTAATTCTAAACAAAACAATGTAATTTGACATTACTAGCCGGAAAGGTAAAAATGTCATCTGAACTGGCTAATTAGCCCCAAAATATGCTGTACCAGGAACCGGTAGTACACAAAGAAGGTAAGGTAAGGTAAATAACTTAGGATAGGTATGTTAAGGTAGAGTAGAATAAGGTAAGGTAGAGTAGGGTAAGGTAGGGTAGGATAGGGTAGAGTAGGGTAGGGTAAAATAGGGTAGAGTAGGGTAGGGTAGAGTAGGGTAGGGTAAAATAGGGTAAGATAGGGTAGGGTAGAGTAGGGTAGGGTAAAATAGGGTAAGATAGGGTAGGGTAGGGTAGGTAGGGTAGGGTAGAGAAGAGTAGGATAGGGTAGGGTTGTGTAGGATAGGGTAGGGCTAATAAGAGTAGAAACAGGACTAGCGGTTAGATGCTGTATAGTGTTGCACTTTTTGTGTTTCATGCTATTTCTGACAGTATTTATTATTACTCGGTTTACACTGTTATATGTTGTATAATCTCTAGTGAAGTCACAAAATAATTACAGTTTAATTATGATTAATCACACCTTTTCCAACCATAACTTGCATTTACTACAGTCTCAGCGTATTCTTACCCTACCCTGGCTTCACCAGACCCTACCTTACTCTATCTTATTTTACTCTACCCTCCCGTCCCATACCCAATCGTTTTGCCTAACCGAGACCAACAGTTTTGATATCCCTACCAAACAACCACAGTTTGATAAGATTATAACAATCAGATAATCAAAGCTTTTTATGACGTTACCTAACATTGTTCATATAATTGTATAGCCTTAGAGAAATTGTCAGAAATCGTATTACGCAACGTTTTCTTGTGCAATATTATGGTTTTATATAAGATTTGCCTCGGTGTAAAACGACCCAACAAATGACTGCGAGTGCTGGGATTTGGCTCCATTTTACATCGAGCGATTATTATCTAACCGCTTTAAATTTTTTTTTATTTCGTCGTCCGGTCAACAAAATGCAAAGACATCTTAAATCTACTAATTCTAGGCCTACTAAGCGTCAGCCTACTAAGCTTAAGCTTACTAAGCCTAAGCCTAATAAGCTTAAGCCTACTGAGACTAAGCCTAAGCTTACTAAGCCTAAGCCTACTAAGCCTAAACCTACTAATTCTAAGCCTGCTAAGTCTAACACTACTAAGCCCAAGCTTACTAAGCCTAAGCCTACTCACTTAACTGTAATTTAAAAAAACCAGTACCTACTAGATTTCATGATTAGTTTATTAGGTAAAATGAGTTTTCTAAGATTTACAATACATAACAAGTTTAATAATATTTATAATGGCAAAAAAAAGTCTTGTCGCATTTGGACGAACAAATTTTTATACATTAACAACAAGATTTTGACCTTTTAACGTTAACAATATCGGGCACATTTAGATCATTTTTTTAATATAAATTAGGTGGAAATAACACAAAGTAGCATAAACCAGCCCATTTAGGCTAGCCTAGACAAGTCAAATAACATAATTTAAGTTCAAAATGTTAAATATCATACTGTAACCTTGAAAATTCAAAGATCATACTGTAATCTCGAAAATGTCAAAGATCATACAGTAACAACAAAAACTACAATAGTAGTACCATACGTACCAATATCCGTTTAAAAATGTCGATTTTCGTTGAGTGAATGGTACCATTCCCTGACAAGTTCGTGTCCCTCGGTTGTTACCACAATAACCCTCTGTATATCATCGCCATACAGAAGGAATCCTCTGTCCGTTGAAAAGTTTTTCAGTTGTTCGTACTGTTCGTCCGAGTCGAACATACTGTAGACGGCACAGTCTTGACATTGCAAACGTTCTCGCTCTTCTTCCCATAAGTGGATCTGGAAGACGCAGGTTATAAATAACTATAATCCACCCCCAGAGCCGATCCGAAAAATTCCACTGGTAGGTACCTGTACGCGAAAAATCGAAAAAATTTTTTTTTGAAAAATATGGGTAGTGATAGGGGTAGCTATATAAAGATAGGAAAAATGTTTCAAAATTATTAAGAACATAACAAGGTTGTCAATTATAAATTTCATACCTAAATTATAGTGCCATAAACATGCTAAAAATCTGTTCTATGTTTTATAGGTTAGGTAAGTCTTATTAACAAAACTGCAATGCTATACCTATCATTACACAAAAGCTTTTTTTAAAAAAAAGTTCCTTGTTATATATTTTATAAATTATCCACCCCTTCCAAAAAACTTCATTCCCCTTCCTCCCATTACAAAATTTCATCCCGCTTCCGAAAAAAAATTCACCCCCCCCCCTAAAAGTTTTTTTTCATCCCATCCTTAAAACTTTTTTACCCCTCCCCCCCTTTTATAAATTTTTTTCCGCCCTCCACCGCTTCCGGAAATTATTTTTCACCCCTCCCCCCCCTCCCTTAAAACTTTTTTGCCACCCCATGCCCCCCCCTCTCAAAACTCCCCAAAGTGCCATACCTGATCAACCACAGTCGGTGGAACACAATGATATTGCCCATGAGTCTCCACAGCTCTTGGATGTGAATTCGCCCTCAAATACTGTGTGATCTGTCGTGCAGTAATTCCTCTTTGTAAAGCCTGCCTTACAGTATCTCTCGTCATCACACCAACAGCCATATTATTGAATCTAGCCAGAATTTCAGCAAATTGATTCAAAATCGACAAATGTAAAGAAGATGATGAATATACTGACAGTCGATAGTTGGTTTCTGCTATCAAGAACCCTTTCTGTCGTGTGTTCTCCAGTGCAACATCACGTTCACCATCTCCAGCCAACAAAAGTGACATTAGTGGAGTAATAAAGAAGAATCCATCCTTTGATTTCCTGATGAAAACTAAGCCAAGTTCACGAAGATGCTTCAAGAAGCCTGATTTGATTACATCTGGCCATTCTTCATCAATGACGTACGGGGTAGCCGGAAGCTTCTCACCGTCCACATTTTGAGAAGTTTCTGATACTAAAATAAGGTTTAATTACGCTTCTAATACTAGAAAACTTCAGCTAAGCTTCAAACACTAAAATCTTTCCTAATAAACTCCAAACATTCAAGTTCTAATACATTTAAAAGACTAAACTATATTATAGTAGGTACCCAATCCAAAACATTTCTAAAACGCCATTCTTTTTTAAAATCCACCCCTGAAAATATAAAAAACAAAGAAAAATCAACTTACAATCCCCAGGATCAACACACAAACACAATTTCAAGAAGAACTCGACATATGGAAAGACATCTTGTTGACTTAGCTCAATATACTTCAAGTAGTACATTAAGTACGACCAAATCTGTTCAGCACGTCCTAATAGCAAAAATTGGAAGCCCAGTGATGTGATGTCTCGTGCTGAAAACGTGCTTTTAGTAACAAACTGAAAAGAACGCCAAAAAAATCATTATTCAACTTCAGACTATATTCACCGTGAATAATACGACAATTTTAGCTTAAAATCAAGCCAAATTCCGATCAGAACTCAAACTACTAAATGTAAAATACGACAAACAAAACATCATTAAAATAAAATTCGAAATACCAAAACAATAAAATAAACTCATAAACTTACAGGACATGTCGCCTTTCCTCTTGATGAAGCCGATATGTTCGAATAGATCAACAGTTGCCATCGAAACGTTTGCCGCACTGTCTGGTAAAGCTAGATAACTCAGCACACATTCCCATCGTTCCAATGCCTTCTTGTACAAGTCTCTACTGGCTGCTTTTTGTACCTTTTCATCAATTCTTGTGACCGGATTCAACCCAACTATGGAGAACAACGGTTTCATCAAAGATTGAAGGTAATTCATCCGGAAATCAATCTAAATTAGTCATTTAGCTAAAGTTTTTAAAACTTTAAAAGATTCAAAACAATTCAGTAAAAACAAAAAAAAACGACAATAACATCAACGTATACCCACATTAAGTTCAGGTGGATCGTCCTCGCTCAAAATGTACAACTTCTGCAATAACACAATACTCTCTCCCACGGAGCTTCTGTAGTTTCTGTTACATTCGTTTTCAAGCCTCCTAAAGGTCAAAAATATCAAAGAAATCAAGTTTAAACTTACAAATCCGTCTTGAACACCATGAGTAAAACACATTTCTGTACCAACGGCGGCAACATCCGCAATATCGCCAAACATGCTGATTTGGATTCAAACAGTCGCTTTACAATGTCAATGTCGAGTCGAGAAAGATATGCCAAAAATGGACGACTTTCCAGTGCGTCCATATTAATTTAGGTTTGTTAGCTAAAAAAATAAGAAATTAGTTAAAAAGCCGGTTTTTTAGTTAAAAATTAATCAAAAATATATAAAAACAGTATGTAAAACCTGGTTTTACATTTTATTTCCCCTTTTTTTTAGAGTTTTATATAAAAAACAAGAAAATAAAAATATTTTTTTAAAATATGTCAAGTCTTTCGCTGGTCAAGAAGAAACTTGGCTCAAAAGGTAACGAAAAGTCGCTGGAAAATCGCCTTCTATCGTCGCTTTAATCATATTCTTATTACTCTATCTTATTCTTTAAAACATTCCCCATATATTTATCTTAATTTTCCATAATTAACAATATATTATCCATCAACACCAATCATTAGCAAGAATTATGTTTAATGTCTGTAATAACACGAATACAAAAAAGAACCGCATCGGAACGTACAAAATAGAACACATTGAGCTTACAAAAAGTTACAAAAACGCGTTCGGGGGATTTAACAATTCAACAATAGACCTAGGTTTAGCACTTTGGAGATTCAATGTGTCGCGGCGTTTTTGAGTTGTGTTATGGCCTGGTAAAGCTGTGTGGTCTCCTTGACTGACGAGAACAGGGTAGCAAAGTTGAAGATCTCGGCAATGCGGGGCTGAAAAGTTTTTTTTTTTAATGTAAAATACGTTCTTCAATTTTCATTTGTATATTTGGAAAAACGCTAAGTGATCACGGTAAAATTACTGTAACATCAAAATGTTTTGGAATTTTAAAATTTTCTTTTTTAGGTTATGGCTAATATAATAAGTTACTATAATACCAAGTTTCAACCATCGACCTAATTTTTCAAAAAGTTATGATCAAAAAAGATTAGACATTCCCCATTTTGATACCTACCACAACATAATTTTGAAAATTCTGCAGTTTTAACTCAAAAAACCTCATTTTCTCCAACTCCAATTTAAAAACCATTATCTTCTCCATCATATCCACCTCAAAATCACCCCCTAATCCTCTTGAATCACCCCCTATTCCTCATTTTTTGCCTTTACCTTGATGTTAAAGTTGTTGAGCCTCAACAAAGCCTGAAAGAAGACACAGACCATTCTCACAATTCTATGCGCGGCCGATGGATTGTTTTGCGACGCACGTTGGCACGTGTCTATGCAATATGTTATGTATGCGTTTAAGAAGTCGGTTGGGATTGGCAGGTTTTGTTTATCACATTGGCACATGAATCGACTGACTGATATCATAGTCTGGACCGAGATTTCCATAGTTAGGACGACGTTTAAGTGCCTGAAAATTTGGATTGAGCTTGGCAAACCTTACCGTTATCATGATTTCTCACCGTGCAAAAAAATTTTGTTTATTTTTAAAAATGTTTCTCTACCCCATCCCCTTTACCGCGCCTTACTTCGTTAACAAAGGTGATTCCCTCAAATGCTCTTGAAGCAAGCATTCTGATGCCAACTCTGGATGAAGTTCGATCATTTTTGCGAATTGTGGTACATCAAAGTCAGTTTCCCTCCATATATCTGCATCTTCCTCTAGGATCGTCATCAGCTTCTGAAGTTCAGTTTTATGTAGTGATTGACCTGATGTGACTCTTTTGAAGAACTGCATTGCAATTGTTTTGTCATCATCTGTTCTTGTATTAGCCAAACGTTCGTTTACGCCATTTCCACCGTTTATGCCACTCCCACCATTACCTCCATTCATAAGTTGCCCTAGCATACTGCCATTCCTTAATGGACCACTATCTACAGTATTCTGTGAGCCTCCTGAATCCGACCTGTGAAGACCTTGAACTGGGCCAATTTCTGATCTTGGCGGCGGGTTCTGACCAATTTCGGGTCGACTTGACCCCACAGTCTGCTCCAGCTTCTGTTGATATGACGATGCGATCCCATTATATCGTGGAGGGCTGTAGCTTGATGATGGAATTCTGTTTGGCGGTACTAAACTATAGACAACTTTTTCTAGCTCATTGAAGAGTAATGGGTTGTTAAGGAGAGAGAATGAGCTTAGAACTCGAGAGTCGGCATTGGCTGACCGTGGTGTCCCACTAAAGCAACGGAATTGATGTAGCTGTTCTTCAACAAAAGTCTTGATCGGCATGATGTTACATGGCTGAAAATGTAATTTCAAAAACTGGGAATGACCATTTATGTTGTTTTAGGCAAAAAAACTAAACTTCCGACAAAACAGCTATATTATAATAGAGAACATACAACTCCACATTTTAGCTCATAACTTATTTCAAAAAACAGATATACCTATAAGCTTTTGTAAAACTATAGCCTATTAACCTCTCCAACAATGACAAGCAAAGTGCTCCCCCTACCTATCCAAAAAAACCTATACCAACATCATTTATCTCACCTGTTCAGTAACCGCATTGTCAGCAATACCCAACGGACTTTGCTCAAAAAGATCACTTAATGACGATGGGCTCTCCGTCAATAACCTCCCAACAAAATGACCTTCTTGTGCTGTGATTTTTGGAAATTTACTCAGTAAATGAATCAAGCTCCTATCGTTGTGATCCATTCCAGGTGGAGACACATGATTCCAATACATTTTGAACAAAATAACCAGATACGGATGAGAAAATATCCCGGACTTCTCGCTTACTTCCCGCTTCCACATGTCTTTTAACCTAAAAAGTTGAAATCAGTTAGATTTAAAGTAGTTATTATATTATCATTAGTGTGGTATTATTTTAGAAGATTATAAACTTCTATTTTCTAAACTAAACCAAAAAAAAACATTTAAAAACACGTAGCTTTCGTAAAACTGTATTTTAAAATCAAAAATGATCGAACTCGTATTTTACACTTCTATCCATGTTGAACCACCTAAAACAAGAGCAACAAGGAAAACCTTACCTGTAAACCAAGTAGCTTATCGTTAACCGTTGAGTTACATGGGATACTAAGCTATGTTCCTCGTATAACGCCACCAAACACATGCACAACATCGTCGCATTTTTATTTTGAAAATGCTGAAAATATGAAGATTAGTCAATCAAGTGTAGTATAACAACGAGAAAGTAAAAACTAAAAATTATAGTCTTGATTAGCTCAAAAACATACTCTTCATATGTTAATCTACGTTTCTAGTTATTAACTTTTCAAAAACCCTTCCAAAAATCAAGTTTTAGCTCACCCATCAGTTCTATGTGTCTAGTGCAATATAAAAATTAAATTTTTAAAGATTTTCGCTTTATTTATTTAAAAATACTTTTAAAAAACGCTTTTTCAAAAGCTTTTCTACATTTTTGCTAAAGAACTCCTAAGTAGAAAAACTTCTAAACAGCCCAAAAACAATATTTTCTTCAACCAGCTCTTCCCACACGAATAATATCACAACAAGACTGTTATTACCTGCAAAAACTGATCTCCAATCGCTTGCAACCTTGCTTCTTTATAATTGAACAAACTAAAAACATGAAAAACTATCATAAGCACGACCTTACCTTATGATAGACTCAAAATCTTTGGGTAAAATTGGACATTCCGTGGAACTCATCTTATTGGTAGTAGATGTAATAACAAACTTTAACAACAAGCTAAACAATAACAATATAAAACTCAACAATCGCGGTCCACACCACCTGTATTGTGATAGTTTTTCAATAGGAAAATTTATTTTCCAAAAAATATTATCATTCAATTGTGACACTTCGCTTAACGAGGCGCAAATATTGACTGTGAGGGCGGAGGTGGGAATTTTGAATGAAAGGCGGGTGAAAGAAGTTGTCAATGACATTTTTTATCTTAATTTTTTATTATTCTTTGTTTTTAAATGTTATTTTTATTAATAATGGCAAAAATTTGTTATTTAAAATATTTTGAAGGCACTTTAATGTTTAACGTAAAGTTTTAAAATTTTAGAAAATTAAAAAACGACTTTCAAAAAGCAGCAAAAGTTGTGTATTTTTTTTTAATTTAGAGTTAATCTTTCTGTATTCGCAAGGTTAATTGATTGGTAATTTACGAAAAATCAAAAAAGTTCGAATGCGCTTGGGAAATTACAGGCTTTGGTAACTTTAACCGGTCGTAACTTTTTTAATATTTGCCGTATCTTTACAAAATTTTAGGAAAATATACTATTTTTCATGCTTTACAAAGATGTTATTACAGAGTCGAAAAAAATTTACTTTGTTTACGGTAAAACGGCATTTAACTACGAAAGACATACTATAATATAGGAATTTTTGTTTATAAATCTATTTTTATTGTGTTTTGCGGCGTTAAAAACTTTTTTTAAAGTTACTATTATAAATATTAAGTTATTTTAACTAATTGACAGTAATTACTATACAATTATACTAACCCATCTTATTGTATTTTACCTTTGTTTCAATTGTAATAGGGTACAATCATAACAATAATTGATACAAACTTGAACAAGTTATTAAAAAATTAATTGTCTACGTCCTTCAAGGGTTCTGTTTGTTTCAATTTATCTACTAAATGTTATGACATGAGTTAAAACGTCAAGTAGTAAACTTTATATTGTATCTACTTGGCATACTGTACTTGGTACATAATACAACAGTTCTTACAGCGTAAAGTGTATTTTACAGTTTTAAGTGCTTTAGAGTATTTGTATGTGCTACAGTGTTATGGTTAATTATAATAATATTAGTTGGTTAATTTGAAAACTTTGTAGTATAATACAGTGGCGGCAAAAAAAAATGGGACAGTCGGTTTTTCGTCAATTTTAAATTTTTTTTGAACGTTTATAAATTTGTACCTAGCTATTATGAAAATGTAGGGTAAGTTTAACATATTCAAGCAAAAAAAATTTTAAAATTTGAGTTTTAAATATTTTTAAAAATTTTTCAAAAAATTTTGCTTGGCAAAAAAAAGTGGGACACTTCAATATCAAAAACATTTTTATTAAACAACCTAACTAAAACAACTAAAAATACGTTTAACTAACAAACAATAACTAGTACTTTGTTGGACCACCATTTGCAGCAATAACAGCGGCCATTCGACGAGGCATATACATGATCTAATCGTCCACTACTTTAATGTCAAGATTTCTCCATCCCTCCTCCAAAACTGATTCCAATTGAGCTTCTGTCGTAGAGCATGTCTTTTCTACGTTTCTTGCAACTAATTCCCATAAATGTTCAATAGGATGAAGGTCAGGAGACTAACTAGGCCAGTCGAGTTTGCGGATCTTCTCCTTCTTCATATATTGTTGAACAACTTTAGCCCTGTGTTCCGGGTCATTGTCACTTTGAAATAAGGATACTTTTATTTTTAAAGAACGACAATAAGGTATGGCAATTTTGTATAAAATTTCTAAGGAAGCCGTCTCTTCCATAGTTTTTTCTATACGATCATAAGTTCGATGTTGTTGTAGGCAAAACACGACCAAACCATTATGCTTCTGGGATGCTTAACTGTTGGCCGTAGGTACCGCAATTGATTTTCGGAGTTAGGTGGCCTTCTTACCTATCGTTTACCATCTGATTCCTTAGTATCCAACTTTGATTCGTCACTGAAAATCACCTTTCTCAAATCATCACTTGTCCAATGTTCGTGTACCTTCGCAAATTCAAGCCGGAGTTTGCTATTTTTGATCCGAATCAAAGGTTTCTTCTTGGAAATACAGCCACGAAGTCTAACGTCTAAAAGCCGATTGCATACTGCCCTTCATGAAACGTCTACACCATGTTCTTCCTTCATGTCTGTTTTAATCTCATTTGCACGTTTGAAAAAATCAACTTGAGACTTGCGATTAATCAATGTATCCTCTTTTTTTGTAGTAAATCTAGGTCTTCTTCTTCCTTTTTTGCGTTTTGTAGAGCCACAACCATTGTATCACGGAATTATTTTTCCAACAGTTAATTTTGGCATGTTAACCATGACATCTATTGCTCGGATTGATATCTTCTCTTTGCCAAGACGCACAATTAAAAAACAAACCTCTTTACCTGCTTGTTTTGGCATACTGTAACTTAAAATATATTCGGAAACAAAAACAGCACAAAAACAAGTACAAATTAAAACTTACTTTGCATATTAACAGCTTCCGTCACAAGTGTCCCACTTTTTTTTGCCAAGCAAAATTTTTTGAAAAATTTTTAAAAATATTTAAGACTCGAATTAAAAAATTTTTTTTGCTTGAATATGTTTAACTTACCCTACATTTTCATAATAGCTAGGTACAAATATATAAACGTTCAAAAAAAATTTAAAATTGACGAAAAACCGACTGTCCCATTTTTTTTTGCCGCCACTGTATGTACTATGTGCTACTACTATAGTGTCATAGGTAACCATGATCTACTATAAGGTTATAGTTAGTCATTACGCTAGATGTTTATGTTTTGACTCAGTAATGTTTATTGTACTCTAAAAAGAATATAATTTTCAAGGGTTTATTGGAACCTTTACAGTATGTTTACCATAATAGTTAATCAGTTGTACCCAAAGGCTTTTAATAGCAGTGGTAAAGTTTATAAAGTAAAGAACACTTATGTTTACGTTCTTGAAAATGTCAGTACAAGATATTAATAACAACATCATTATAACGAAAATGTCAAAGTTTAATGACTTTTTTAGCGTATTTTTACTGTATTCTTAGCATTAGCCGAGCTTTGTTTTGGCCTTGCCTTGGCTTTGCTCTTGCCTTGTGTTGGCCTTGCACTGGTCTTGCCCTGGCTTTGCCCTGGCCTTGCCTTGGCCTTGCGCTGGTCTTGCCCTGGCCTTGTCTTGGCCTTGAACTAGCCCTGTCCTGGCCTTGGCCTTGTCCTGGATTTGCCCTGGCCTTGCCCTGGCCTTTCCTTGTCTTGATGGAGATTTAGCATTAGCCCTAGCCCCGAGTCGTAACCGTTGCCTTAAACTTAATTTAAGTGGAAGGCTTAAGTTTAGCCTTATTAAGGTTCTAGCATCCCTTTAAACTAGCCATACCTTACCAGTAATAAACAACTTTGACATTTTAAATTTACGACTTTGATATCATAAATGTGAAAATAGCAAAGTTACATGTAAAGCTATAAATAAGAACTACAGTTACGTAATACGGAAGTATGTTGTGAGAATTACATTAGTAAGCGTGGACATTGAGTGGGTTTCCTTTATTTATAAATTATATTATTATAAATTAGTTCTCACTGGCTCCGTTATTTTTGGTTGTCATACTAAAGTTTATATAGTATGTAATCTCATTAGTAGTTATTTAAGTCATAATAACTCGTACTAAGAACATACTTTGATTGTCAAAATCCTACGGTAGTACTGTCATGGAAACGTTTATTACAGTAAGGCAAGGTATATGCTTAATTAAGTCCAAGGTTGGGTTAAAGTAATTGTAAATCTATGACAAGGGTAGAGTAGGGTTTGGTTAAGATTTGGGCAGAGGCTAGGGTTAAAGTTCCAGCTAGAGCTAAGGCTGGAGTAAGACTAGAGCTACGGCCGGACTAAGGATAAGACTAGGTTCTGGGACTTGGTCCAGGGCTAGAGCTAGGGCTAGAGATAGAGTTAGAGCTAGAGTTAGATCTAGAGCTGGAGCTAGAGTTAAATCTAGAGCTTAGGCTAGAGATAGGGCTAGAGGTAGAGCTAGGGCTAGGACTAGGGTTTAAAAATGTCAATTAAGCTACTGGTAAATTCTGTCGAAACGCTATTTAAAAATTAAAAACACAGGTGTTTTTGCAGGTATTCGGGGTTCATGTATAAGTACTTTAGTAAAAAAACTGTTGCAATACAAGTTTCATTGTCTGCCAGATGTTAAACTACGTTTAATTTGTGTAATGTACGTGCACTATGCACTTACTGTAATTTTAAATTTAAAAATTCAAAATTTTTGGGACGTTTCTTAGAAGAAGCCATAAATTTAGACCTTACGTAGCCCTACCCTAGTTGTAGTTCTGAGTCCTAGCTCAGAGACCTAGCCCAAAACCCTAGCCTAGAGCCCTAGCCCAGATCAACTAGCCCTCGCTTAGAGCTCTAGTCCAGAGCCCTAGCCCAGAGCCTTAGCCCAGAGCCCTAGCCCAGAGCCCTAGCCCAGAGCCCTATCCCTGAACCCTAGCCCAGAGCCCTAGCCCAGAGCCCTAGCCTAGAGTCATAGCCTAGACCCCAAGCCCAGAGAACTAGCCCAGAGCCCTATCCCAGAACCCTAGCCCAGAGCCCTAGCCCAGAGCCCTAGCCCAGAGTCCTGACCCAAAAATCTAGCTCTGGTGATATCATAATCCAACGTTAGTTTTAGTTATTGCCAAATCCTTGACTTACTAGCTGCCTTTCTAATTTATCACCATAAGTCATTTTTTTCTGTACATCAGGTCCAACTTTGTACATTCATATCTTCTTATAAGGTCACAAGAAGACTAAAAAGCTAACAATTTGCTAATTTTGCATTTTACAAAATTTAAATTGTATTTTAATCATGATTAAGTTTTTAAACCTACACATTCGTTCAAAACGTCTCATTGAAAAGGTTTTGTAGATTTCGATGACAAACCTTTGTTCATTTGCTTTAAAATGTCGTTTTCACAGACTTTACACTAGGAGATGTTTGACATCTTTCCTTGAGCCGATTACGATTTTAAGTAGATGAACATGGCGCGTGTGCTGATTTTTGATATTGCAACTTGTATATTGTGATTACTTTTTGCTTTACTGTAGGGTCTAGAGTGGGCTAGGGTTAAGGGTAGAGAGATGGCTAGGGTTAGGGCTAAATCTGGAGCTAGGTCTAGACTTGGGAAATAATAAAACTTATGGTAGGCTACGTCCGGGGCCGAGCGCGAGGTGAGGGGGGGGGGGAAGGGACGGGAAAAATGATGGTGGGGTACCTCGCCCCCCCCTTAAAAAAAATTCGAAAAAAGTTGAACATGGTTCCCCTCCCCCGTGGATTTTTTCGACCTCCGCCCCAGATCAAAAGTCCCCGCTCGGTCTTGGCTATGGCTATGACTATAGCTACGACTGGCTATGTGTATGACTACTGACTCTAGCTATTACTATAGCTAGGGCTAGAGCTAGAGCTAAAGATCGGGGTTTAGCTAGGGGCTAGAACTATGGCGAAGGCTAGGGTTAAAGCTAGGGTCAAAGGTAAGACCAGGGCCGAGGTTACGATCAAAGCCAAGGCTAGGGCGAAGGCTACGGTTAATACTAAGATCAAGGTGAAGCCTAATGCTAACAATTTTGTAAGGCTAGGTTTAAGGCAAAAATGCAGGCTATAATTAGGGTCAAGACTAGGGCCAAGGCTAGGATCAATGCTGGGGCTATTGTAAATTTTGGCAAGACTTGGGCCAGGACTGGGGCTATAGCTAAGGCTACACGAGCATTGCAAACCACAGCAAACCTAAATGAGAATCTAAGCTAAGGCAAGGATTAGCTCTAAAACAATTATCTTGATAATATGTTTTTACAAGTTCTATGCAGTTTTTGGAAACCACAAGGTTACCATTGTACTGTTTTACTACATATTTTTCTTCCTATACGTTAAAAACAAAATTATCAATCACTTAAACATTATCTTATATACCTAGAATGCATTTTTGACATTCCTCAAGAAATCTTTTTGTTAAATAATTTCACTTAACGTTTACAACCATAAATCAATGTAAAACAAGGTATAATTTTAGTTTTACAAGAAGGCTTATAAGACCAACATACACATTGTTACCTTTAATCACACACATGTGTCTTATATTAATCAAAAAAATATTTTTTACATTTAATCATAGCATAGTTTTAATTTACACGATACCATTTGTGCAACAAAGATCATTGTGGTGCCACATAATGTCATCTAATTTCGTGTTTTAATGTTTAAAATTTTGCGTTTACTCTGTAAAAGATTTTTAAAATAGGATTAAAAGAACAAATGGTAAAGTAAAGGGATGTATGGGTTTGTAGATGTGTGAGAGCTTGCACGAGGTTGTATACTGTAGAATAGTTGGATGTAAAGTAAAACGTCATTTGAATATTTGGCCGTCAAAAGCTTTAAAATTTTACGTTTTCAGCCTTCGCCTAAGTTGAAGGGAAGGCTAGAGCTTATGTTTAGGCTTCAAGTAAAGCTTGAGACAGCTTGAAGTAAGGCAGGAGCAAAGCTAGTAAAGGGCTACGGTAGACTCAATGGTAGGCATAGGGATGGATTTGGGGCCGGCGCTGGGGCTGAGGCTTGATTTAGGGCTAACGCTGAAGCTGGTTGTCAGTTTAAGCTTTAGTTGAGCCAGAGTGGGCTTAAAGCTTGTAAGAAGCTACAGTAAAGCCAAAGGTAGGGCTAGAGCTAGGATTAGTATTTATGCTAGGGTTAGGGGTTGAGGTTTGGAACTAAGGCTGGGATTGAAACAAGAGCCTTGGGGTAGAGTTCTAGGCTAATTTTTTGGACTAGCGCTCCGGGCTAGGACTCTAGGCTAGGGCTTTGAGACCAGCGCTTTGGGTTAGGGCACTGAACTAGAGCTTTGGGCTAAGACTCCGGGCTAGGGCTCTGGGCTAGGGCGCTGGGCTAGGGCTTTGGGCTAGGGCTTTGGGCTAAGGCTTTGAAGCTAGGGCTCTGGGCTAGGGCAAACTGTAACTGTACGATTACTTATGACACGATAAATATTATTGTTTTCACATCATTGACAATTGAGTCTTTTGCATGCTGTACAAAACTCAAGATCATAAACGGCGTACTGAATGAGTACAATTTAAGAACAACTTGAAAACACTTGAGTTGGGCTACAATTCTAAATAACAAAAGAATTGTAGTTAATCGTATAGCTTGCAAAACTAGTTTTTATACGATTTGTGTTATCGACAACTTGGCAAAACAGGAAACGTATGTGACAAAAGGCAAATCTTTTGTACAAAAGGTGTGATAAGCAGGTTATGACGGTATTTCCTAGATCTCAAGAATGTAATCAATGAAATGTATGGTTGGGCCGGGCTTATCGTGTTAAAATAGACCAGTTGCATTGTGAAATGTGGTGGTTTGTTAAAAAATGACGTACTGATGCTTTGCATCACAAGGCCATTAGATGAGGGCAAGGGACGGTAATTCTGGCTACAAGGCCAAGCCGTATTTTAGGCAGACTAGCCGGGTTGAAAAGGATTAAAAAGGTCCGTGCTCAGAAATTGGCCCGGCTTGATTATCAGGTCTAATATAAGCAAGGCTGATAAAAGGTTAGGTTAAAGTTATGGCTAAGGCTAAGGCTAAGGTTAGAATTAAGGCTAAGGTTAAGGCTAAGGCTGGACTACATATATGGCTGGAGACTTATACTTCAAATTTTTTTTCTCAAAAATATTTTTTTTTTCAGTGAAAACCAAAAAATGGCGCAGGAAAATACAAAATTCTGCGCCGTTTTAAAAAGAGAGCACAATAAAACGAGAGACACTAGAGAAAAGACTCTCTCTTTTTCAAACGATATTTTTTTCAAATGGCGCAGGATTCTGTAATTTTCTGCGCCATTTTTTAATTTTCACAGAAAAAAAAATATTTTTTGAAGAAAAAAAATTTGAAGTATAAGTCCCCAGCCATATATGACTACGTCTAGAAGTAAAGTGAATATACTGTAGACTACGGTTATATGTATATGTGTGTACGAATATATTGCACTCTAATTTGTCTTCTAAGAAAGGTTTCTTGATAAATAGCATTATTTTTTTAAAACTCTATTTCAAAAGGGTAAATCGACACATTAAATACGTAGATGACACGTAGTTGAGGTCTGAAATTATCTGTTATTGTGTTGTTGAAACCAACTTTACTATTAATATCTTGCTACGTTGATGCTGCTTTTGAAGAATGTTTACTGTTACATTTTAATAAAAAAATATTAATAGGTGTGAATGTTCAGGTTCTGTATCAAAGGTAGGTCTAAGGTAATGATATAGTAGGGCTTCAGTAAGGCTATAGAGAGAAATTAAAGTATCTAGTGGGAATAATCAGTTTAAACAGTAGTTAGTGCTTAAATAAGGCTATGGTAGGGCAGGGTGGGCTAGAAACTAATACAGCAGGCCAGTTGGACCTAGCACGAGTCTCAACTGGCATACGTAGGATTATTAGTGAACCTTGTATAGAGTTAAGAAAAGCTTGAGATAATGCTAAAAAAACGGCCGATAAAGTGGGGCTAAGGTAACGCTATTGTAAGGTGAAGTAGGCTTGTAAGGTTCAAAGTAATTTTAAAGTTTTAAAAATTTTCAGTTGAAAATCGCTGTAACTCTTGATTTCTAAAGGTTGCGAATCATCATTACACTACTAATTCTACATTAAGCTTTTTAATTTAGTTTAACAATTGTTTGGTAATAGATTAGTCATACAGTACTTTATCAATGAACAGTAACAATGAAATGTTTATTGGGCTTTCACAAGCATTTCTTGCGAAAAGATGGTAAATAATAATGTTTTGACATACCAAATTAATTACTAACCTTTTTAAACTTTTTTACATTTTTTATCTAAACCGTTTAATGCTATCTATCTTTTTTTATTAGAAAAAAGTTGCATTTTATGTTTTTTATTGAACTATGTAATAATAGATGTTTCAATGATGAAGATGTATCAAGTTGGTTTAGGTTTTTTTCAAAACATTTTTTGTTTGACCGGTTAATCATAAGTTATTGATGAGAGAACACAAAAAGAGACGAAGGCTCTCTGAAGATGAACTTGATGATTTTTAGGTAAAAAAGTTATTATTATGTTATGTACATGTTTTTCTATGTTTATCTTTTACCATAGGAGTTGGGCTAAATTAGCGTATAGGATACTGCATGACATATGGCAAGGACATTGGGTTGAAACCGTTAAGACATTTTTAATTTAATGGTAAGGTAAGGAGTGAACGATTATCAAAATGGCACAGCAGAGACCAGACGTTAGGCAGGGCACGGCTAGGGTAAGCTCAGGCTCAGGCTCAAGCGCAAGCTCAAGCTCAAGCTCAAGCTCAAGCTCAGGCTCAGGCTTAGGTTCAGGCTTAGGTTCAGGCTTAGGTTCAGGCTTAGGTTCAGGCTTAAGCTCAAGCTCAAGCTCAGGCTTAGGTTCAGGCTTAGGTTCAGACTTAAGCTCAAGCTTATTTTCATAGAAAAGGCTCAATTAAGCATAGACACAACCTCAGGTTCTTGTTCTTCTGCTGGCTTTGGCTCTGAATTCGAGTGTGGCTAAGACTCAGCCTCAATCCCATTCTCTGGCTTACCTCGAAGATCACGATAAAAAGAGTAGGCGTAAGGTACAACTAGACCTTAGTAAAGGTGAGACAAAGATACGGCTAAGTAACAGTCGTTGTATGCTAATTTAGTTGTTATTGCGGTTTTAATTGATAAGATGACATGGTCTACAAAATGTCAGCATTATGATACAATGACGCCTACTATCAAAACAGCAGTGATGTTTGACAAAAGTGGTAAATAAATATAAACAGTAGTGGAGTACTAGGATGATTGATGAAGAAGAAGGTATTGCACTTGTCATCATTTTGTCATTTCAATTAAAATTTTAATTGCGCAGTGTAAGATCTTTAGGCTAGACTTGAAATTAACGATTATAGGAATGAGTTGATACGGTAAGGAAAAAGAGGGTAGACGGTAAAACAAGGATATAAAAAATTAGGGTACGGTAAGAAATTAAAAGTGGAGTACGGTAAGGACGAAAGGGGTTGTATACGGTATAAAAAAGGGGACGGGTACGGCAAAAAAAGAAGGGGGTGCTTTTTTACCTCTGTAATCTTTTTTTGACATCAAAAAACTAATTGTAAATTTTTTTACTTTACAAAAAGATATCATCATTCCATAGTTAAAAACACAAAGCATACGGTAGCCTAGACCACGCCCTTTGTTGACTTGCATTCACAATGAATCGAGTGTAATGTAAAGTATGGCTTGTTTAATCCGGTGTTATGGCAGGGCGGGGTTTGCCAACGTTCACATTTCCGATTTGTATATGACATTGTTAAAATAGCACCCAGCCGGCTTTAGTCAGGTTTTTCATTTTTTAAAAATTTCAATGTTTTTTAAAGAGGGGGGGGGGAGCAATGGAATACAAGGTAAGGCAGGGTAAGATGAAGTAACTTAGGATAGAACAGATTTAATAAGAGCATATTAGCGTAGAGAAAGCAATAATAGAACAGACTTGGACACGACACGCTGGGTTAGAGCAGATAGCGTAAGATAACGTGTTTGGATCAGGGTAGGCTAGGGCAGGCTAGTATAGAACAGGCTAGTGTAGGGCGGAAAGATACGAGAAGCTATGTTAGGATAGGCTAGGGTGGAACAGCCTAACGAAAGGTTTTCGGATCAATTCTAAGTGGTCCTACAGGCAGGGCCGGGCGAGAGGGGGGGGACGGGGGTGACCCCCCTCCAAAAAATAAATTTTTCAAAAAAGTTGAACGTGGTCCCCCCTGTGGATTCTCGGAAAAAAAATTTTTGCAAAAAACCGGCACAGGTAGCTCTTGTGCCGATTTTTTTGGACCCCTGCCCCCAGACCAAAAGTCCCCGCCCGGCCCTGCCTACGGGTATATGTCCGTGCGCGGTCCAACTAGGTTTTTTAGGACAGGAGAGTCTGATGTAAGGCATCTTATTGTAGTGGAAAGTAAACTACTAATAGTACTCATCTTATTATTTCAAAACGTTTTATAAACTTGTAATACAAGAAAATCTACAGTATCGGCTTTTATTTTTCTTAATTTTGTATCTTATCAATACAAAATGGCACTTTGTACAAGTTGAAACAAACATTTCGATACCTTTGACATTCTCACTTAATTTTCTTTTGTTTTCAATTCTACAAAGAACTGAAGTATACTATGAATTATAGTCACTTATCAAACTCACAAATTTGTTGTTATCATAATATTGTCTTTTTTGTATGTCTATACAATGTTTTAAACATTCTTTGTGTAGGCACGAACCACGTGGTTGAATATTGTAATCATTTGGTCTTTCAAGAGTTTTTTGTTTGAAAAAAATTATTAGTGTTTCAAAAATCAGGCCTTTTGCGCTCGGCCCTGGTTGCACTGGTTTGAATATGGGGTAGGGGTAAAGGTAGGGGTAAGGGAGAAAGGTAAAGGGATAGGTCAAGAAGTAAGTGTAAAGAGGGGATGAGTATCTTACTTTTAAAATTCGGCACAATGCGTTTTCAAAAATTATTTTTTAAATTTTTATTACATTATAATTAGAATGTCAAAATAAAAAATAGTATTAAATTATTCAACGCACGTCTAGCAGTATCACGCAATATTATCTATATATGATTACTAATTATAACAATATATTTATAAAAATTTGACGTTTTTACATATGAACATGGCTTTTATGTAGGCGGTGTTTTTGTAGAGAAATGCCGTTTTAGCTGTAGGAAGTAAAAGTTGGAAAAGTATGGGTATCAGTTAGTTATGCAAAAACATGTATTTATACAGTAGGTAAACTGTGTAAATACATGTTTTTGCACAACTTGGCTATGTCTAGGGATATGGTTAAAGCTACTGCATCTTACCTCCAAAGTTAGTAGACTTTCACTTGTTTAACTGCGTGAAACATTGAACCAATTTAATAGCATGCTTAATCCACAGACTGTACTCATGCACTGTTGACATACAATACGCTTACAAGAAACCGTGTAGTCACAGTAACAGTAATTGCTAATATTATAATAATGCATAAACAATTATACGTCTCTATCAACGCTTACATATTATAATTAGACGTTCAAACCAATTTTTGACGTAACGGTTAATGTATATTTACAAGAATAAATTGAAAAAGGTTTTAATTACTATATAAGCCTGTTTTAATTATTTGTGATTTCTGGCATTGAGTTGGTAATTTTAGGTAATTAAAACTGTCTGTTCTATGAAAAGATGTCTGTACTACATTATATGTTATGGTTTGGTGTATGAAAAGCTTTAAAGTTTAAGGTGTTTAGTATGTATAACGTATAGTTTATACTCTTCTTCGTACTTAGTTTACTATAGCTTACTTGTTGAGAGGTAAGGCTAGGTAGCGCTAGGCTAAGGCTAGGGCAGGGCTAGAGAAAAGCCAGGGTAAGGCCACAGTAGACCTACTAATGAAATAACTTTATTTGTAAGAAGTATTGTAACGCGTAAATACTGTACTTAACCTTCGTGTCAAACTTTATTTCAAATTTACTTTCTAACAATATTACTTTAGATCTTGGTTTAACACAATGCATACCTTCACAACTCTCCTGTTTATCTTATCATTACTAACACTAGCAACCGCTTATATTCATGGCCGCCACGCCAGACACACCAAACGGCCGCAAAACCAATTAGAACTACCGTATGAGCTAGAAACTGGAAACTTCGGCCCATTCCATCGTCAAACTCGCTATGACCGACGATGCTTCTTCACGCCGGTAAACTGTGTCGTATACTTTAAAGATGGCATGCCGGGTGATGATTTAGTGAAGAATGCTGACTTTGGCGTGAATTCAAGGCCAGATGAACTGAAAAAGAGGCGAAGAAGTTTTAGAAGGAGGTTTAGACAATGAATCACAAGATGGAAAACTGGATTAAAATAGAATTTAAATGGCTTTAAAATGGCAAAATTTCAATTTAAGGCTTCTATCGTTGCTACAGGATAAATGTTTGTTTACAACGATGTTTTTAGTATATTATGGTATATGTACATTTTGTATCATACATATTTATATAGTTGTTGTATCTATCAAAATAATTGCGTTTTGATTATTTATTTACTATGCTTAATTTTTTATGATCAGGCCATACAGTCATCTATCAATCTGTTATATAACAACGTAGCAGATTACTGTAACTTCCTAACTTCTTTATGCCATTCTTAATCCACACCTTTTTAAATATTTAGATTGTTTTTGCTACGGTCAAGATATTTTCATGCTTGATGTATCACAAAAATTGTAATAATTTATTGTTGTTGTGTTAGCCATATTTGTATGCTATTGTTAACGTCAATTTTAACATTAACAATGATATCTACTTTTAGTCAAAACAAACGTCGCCTTTATCATTGTCTATTGTAATTTTATTGTTTACAAATCACATTACCATGGCAAGTATGTTAGCATAGCTGTTCTTACCTGTTTACTTATTTTGTTTTTAACTATTTACTTATATACATTGTAAAGCTACTGTGGTTTAACTTAACATCATATGAAACATTACTTACTCTACTTTTTAACAACAATTGTACAATTTAACTTCACTTTTTACAATTCAAAATTCACATATTATAACTTAAAATCGACTTTTACTACTCTAATATTTACATTTTTCATAAGATATACATGTTTTACCATACTATCGTCATTACACATTGTTCGTACTGCCTTAATAATCTATTTTGCCTACATTGTTATTGGTCTCCATGTCGTAATTGTTTATCGTTCAAACGGGTTAATCTCTTTATATAAATTTATGGTATAATATACCATTGTTTGTATGCACATCAATATATCAGAGTATTGGATTATTATTAAATAAAGCATGAATTGAAAATGACATTGGTGTTTGTAGTACCATAAATACAATAAAATAATACTTTTGTGTATAAAATCGTATAACTATACAAGTTTTCTACATATAAAAATTAAATTCAATCAGGGAGAGCATCTGGCGCACCTTCCTTGTTAGCAAAACAACACAAAAAAACTCCTGTATATTAGCAAAAGTTGTCAACAATTCACATAATCAAAACCAAACTAATCCGAGAAATCCCTTGCCCATTTGTCTCTTCTACAAACCCTCAATTGTTTTTTGATTGGGGACGTTTTCCCGCGAGAGAGCATGATTTACGCGTGTTTTCTTCGCGTCTCTGTATTTTTGTAGAGAAAAAGGTAAAGAAATAAACTTATAGTAATTTTACTGTGGCTTCACAAACATCTTCAAACATTTGAAATTAAAAATGACTACTTTTACATATTACCTTCAATGATAATATACATATATATAGTATACATAACATCTTTGAATATTTTATTTGTAAAAAAGCGTTCTTTTACATTAAGATACGTGTAAAAATGTAACACAGTAATCCATATAAATTTGTTATGTGCTTAACATTTATTTCTTTATCCTACACTTTTATTCTTTATCGTGATACTATAACATAAGATATTTGACGTTATTGTCTGTTTAAAAATTTAAAGACCACATAAACCAATGTGATCAAATCATACGGTATTCGGTTAATACATGACATGTTCGGGGTTATTATCCTAGAACGTTTGAATTACTAAACGGATGAACTTTAAAACTTTACGGTTTTTAATTTTTTCAATTGCTAATTTGTTTTACTGTAGTGTTTGGCGCATCAACAGTAGCGCAATTTTGTTGTTGTGATGCGTATACCAAATCTACTTTTCATAACTATGCCACGTCTTAATGTCTGATGCTCAGTTTTGCCATCTCTTCGTACAAAAACAAGATACAGAACAAAAATATTGTATTAACAATGCATTTCCAAACCAGATTATTCACCTTCCAAAATGATATAAGATCATTTATGGTACTTCCTATATTTCAAAGTAGTTATCAAGGGGAGTGCACAACAACCGTACAATTTAATTTCATCTTAACATATATACAGTATTTTAAAGAGCTAAAAAGCTGTTTGAGAACTTGTGATCAAAATTTGTCAAGTAAAGCTGAGAGCTAAGGTAGGGCTTAAATTATAATAGGATCTAGTTAGAGCTAGTGTAATGTGAGAGTAAGGCTAAGATAAAGCTAGACTAACGACGTGCTGTCCTTGTAAGACATTACGTTTTGTCTACTATACAGTAGGCTACAGTAAGAAAATTTTTTTTCCTTGCCCTGTCCTTGTAGCCTACCCTGTTTTCTCCGGCAGACTTATACTTTATTCTGCCTCTCTCTACCCTACCTTTCTTTTCCCTACTCAACCCTTTCTTTTTCTGCTTTACCCTACCCTAATGTACCTTACATTATCTTTTCTAATTTTTTTTATCCTGCCTTGCCTTTTTATTCTACCTTACTTTTTTTACCCTGTCGCACTGTAAAAATATTTAAAAATATCATGTGGCGTTATCTGCTCAACTTATATTATACTTCAGGTTTCCCACCTACACAGCTGGCACGGCGGATTAAATCGAAACTATTTTTTACAAGTCTAATAAAACTGATAATGTCACTTAATTAAAACCTGTAAGTTTGTTGGACTTTTACAGAATTCGCAGATTTAAAACAGGATTTTGGGTTTAATTTGCTACTTTTACATTTAAAACAGTCATATTAATTACATAACGTTGATGGAATGTTGACATAAGTGTTTACCATCAAGTTTTAATACGTTTTAAGAATTGAGATTTTAAATATAGTTTTTAAATTTGAACTTTAAAGCAATAAAATATTTATTTTAAAGGCTTGTACTTAAATAAGCAGCTGTAAAGTGCAAGTACTATATGAGTGGGTACATACGTACACTATATATATACAAAATATACAGTAAAAATGCAACAATAGTTCATACTTTATCTTGTAGTAGATTAAAAATTGCTTTAAAAAACGGAAATGCCATTCATACTTTTACAATCTATAATAACTATGCAATAAATTATATTTTTAGTTAGCTATTATGCTATCATAATTCTATGACAATGCTCATACAACCGGTTGTAAGCCCCTAGAGTGCATGTACATCATACATCACTTTTTATATTGTTTAAAGGACTTGTGACAAATTCGTGCAATGTGCACATACATTGTTATTATTTCTTTTGTGATTATACATATATGATGCATTTGTATTTAAAAATGTCATAATTATAGCTTAAGAGGTCAATAGTAAAATCATTACCCTGCTTTACTCTACATTATCTCAGCCTTGCCATAGCCGAATTCTGATCTTACCTTTGTCCCCTCCCCGTCCTACCCTTGCCCCACCGTTGATTTGCCCTTGCCTTGCCTTTGTCCTACTCTTTCCCTATTCTTGCCCTACTGTTGTCCTACTCTTGCTCTATCCTTGACTTACTTATGCTCAACCCTTGCTCTATCCTTGCCATACCATTGCATTACCCTTATCCTACCCTAGCCTTTCGCTTGCGCTGCCTTTGCCCTACCTTTTCTCTACCTTTGTTCTATATTTGCCCTACTCTTGCCCTATGTTGCTCTGCCCTATCCTAACTCTGCGTTGCTCTAATTCTGCCATACCTTAACATTGTCCCTTAACTTTGCCCTGCCTTTACTTCGCCTTAGCCCAAACTTCTACTTTTGCTTTTAGCTTATAATACATAACTCTGTTCAAAAAACGTAACTGTTTTCAAATTTCGACTGACTCTTACAACAACGTAAAAAAAATTGTCATTAAAAGTTTTAAAACCATTTAAAAATAGTATAAATAATCCAAATTTTTAAGGTCTTCGATTATTATTACAATTCTTTTTTCTTGTTTATGCCACAGTACGGGTTCTTTCAATACAGTGATTAAGAAACCTAGTTTTCGAGTATACATGTTTTAAGATAGTGGGATTGTAAACGCTTACAATTCCTCATGATATTACACAAAACAAACAATTTTTTTTATTAAAGCAAGTTTTTTACAACAAAAAAATTTAGAAGTAAAATACAAAACTTGAACTTTGAGTATAACATACAGAATAATCTTCCAAATGTCATGACAGAGTCATTTTGTCATACATTATATTAAAATGTATTTACAACAAAAAACCATAAATTATTAAATGCCATCATGACACCCATCACAGAAATAGTCAACATGTATAAAGGTTCGCTCCACAAACTCCAGTCCATTAAGCTTGTCTTGCAGACCTTCACAAATGTCATGAGTCTCTTTTAATGGCAAGTTTTCGTCAAGTACAACATGTAACTCTACCAATGCCTTCTCTCCAATATGATAACACATAATGTGATCCAGGCACTTGATACGTGGATCATGAGATATTGAAATTTGAAGAATTCGACTAATATGCTCTTGTTCAGCTCTTTTACCAACTACCATTGGGATTTGCTCGAATGCGTTGGAAAACCAGGAAATCGCAATGAATGTGCTAAAACTTTTAAGGTCAAATCTTGAAATTTTAGATATCAAAGACATTTTTTAAGGCAAGTCTAGAGCTAGCCTACTTCAAGGCTAGGGCAAAACAAAAAAACGGCAAAGACAGAACAGAGCATTTCGTGGCATAAAAAGGCCTAGATAGGGCAAGGCCAGGGCAAGGCCAGGGCAAGGCCAGGGCAAGGCCAGGGCAAGGCCAGGGCAAGGCCAGGGCAAGGCCAGGGCAAGGCCAGGGCAAGGCCAGGGCAAGGCCAGGACAAGGCCAGGGCAAGGCAAGAAAACGCAAATAAAAATTTTCGTATTTGGCTGCTTTACACAAAAGCAATACAAAAAAGATTCCTAAAGTACCGTTAAGTACGTCTAATACTGTCAACGTAAACTGGCTGTTTACTAAATTTACTAAAATTGATTGTTTTTTTAAAAAAAACCAGTTTTTAGACTGATTGTAGGCTGTTTTTTGTACGAAAAGTCATGCTTTTGTTGGCTAAAAACAAAAAAAAATTAAAAATATTATTTTATGTAGTTTTACAACTTTTAAAATTTCACGTCTTTTACGACTCATACCGTTTTGAAAAACAAATTTACATCTAAATATATACGAAAATATATAATCTTACAGTTCGGAAGGTATTAGCCATTAGAAGGACTTGGAAGAAGAGTTAAGATCCTTCTAATGGCTTGTACGAATTTCAATAATTTTACGACTGAAAATGGCTTTTCCTGTCGGCATTGGGGTAAAAAAAAGAAAAGTCATTTTTGAAGGCGTAGTTTTAGTTTTATTAATATCAAGCATAGAAGTGACGAGGATGTCGTAAAATATACTACGTACCATATTAGAATATTTACGTAGTGGTATTGATTATTGTTTTTTAGTTTTTATATAAAATTATAATGTGTCATAAAAAATGCTATAGGTAACTTTACTGAAACCCAATTTGACAAATTTTATGGATGTGTTGAGAGGAATGTTCAGTGCGAGTACCCTAGCCCAATCGTATGTTTTTACGATTATATGGTATATCATACACAAAGATAGCAGTAAAATCTTCGTTTTTATAGCCGGAACAGAAGATTGTGTGGCCGTAAAAACTATTGTAACAGGAAATAATATACAATTATTGTCTTATCATAAATTTTTGTATGCGTTTTGAATTTGTCATAGCTATAAAATAACAAGATAATTGCCCTGGCCTTGCCCTTGCCTTGCTCTGGCCTTGCCCTGGCCTTGCCCTGGCCTTGCCCTGGCCTTGCCCTGGCCTTGCCCTGGCCTTGCCCTGGCCTTGCCCTGGCCTTGCCCTGGCCTTGCCCTGGCCTTGCCCTGGCCTTGCCCTGGCCTTGCCCTGGCCTTGCCCTGGCCTTGCCTTGGCCTAGCCTTAAGTTGCCTTGCTTTGCTGTATGAACTTCAATAACATCGCTTACCAAACCAAAATAGCACCAATAGGATCTGCATAAGGCCAGTAAAAGTCGCCAACTACGGCTCCAGACACAGCGACAACACTTGTAATGATGTCGTTTCGCTGATCTAATGCTAAAACTTTGGAATTTGTAGTATCATGACTGTAGCATACAACCATCACTATTGACTTGATCAGTATGGCAGAGCCCATAATGGCCAGGGTTGGTAGGTTAGCGTCCGGACTTACCTAAAGTTTTTATTTGTAAGTACAAGTACAGTAACTTTCAAGAAGGTTTTTTCTAGTTTTGCCCTACCCCCCCCCCTCTCTCCTGATCTCATTTTAAGTTACAATCATTACCCAGCCCATGCTAAGTTACAATACAACACTTACCGATCCCATGACAATAGCCTCGACAGACTGAATAATCATCATGATGTTAGCTACGCCCATAAAGATCGAGCAACTTATCACAGCTAACAGCTCTAGTCTTTGTCGCCCTCTCGGATAGTTGAAGGAGTTTGTGTGGGTAATCAAGTACACTGTGATGAATACAATCACACTGCTTACTATATCCATACTTGAGTCGACAAAGGCACTAAAATATGGGTTTAGGTTTATATTTTAGTGCTATTTAAAGTACTATCTAGTATTAAACTTTTTAAAAGCTGTAGTACTATGTATTTAGTACCAACATACACTGTAAGAGTAGTTCTTTAAGGTGGTACAAAAGCTTAGTACTATATAACACTATAATGTGTACTAATAATTCAAAGTAAAATTTTAATACTATATAGCACCGTATGGCACTAGAAGTGTAATACTGTATAGTACCATAAAAAAATTTGAAAATAGTACTAAATAGCACAGTACAATACTAAAAAAGTCTAAAAGCTTACCTGATAACAGAATAAGAGCCGGACAAGAAAGCAGCAGTCAAATTTCCACCCAAAATCAGCAAGTTCATGACAAAAATAACTGAAGCGAATCGCCTGTCCCAAACCAAATTTCGACTGTATTCAGCGTGAGCTTCTTCACATCGTCGTTCAGCATTATCTGGCCGAAGATTCTCTACATCTTCTTTAAACAACTGGTTTAGTCGGTCTTGACGTTCGTAGAACTTAAAACAAGGCCAATTAAAATTAAATTTTTAAAAATACGAATTTAAAAACTACAAAAAAACCGTAACTTAAATAAAAGTTTTGTCTAAAGCGTAAGCCTAAACATACTACGCTTAAACGTAAGATGAAGGAAGAATATAACTTTAAACTTAATCTTAAATCTAAATGTTAGCTTTAGTTTAAGCCTAAATGAACACCAACGCTGATGTCTAAACTTAAAAATTAATTATAAGCCTAAAGTTAAGTCTAATCAAAACCGTAATGTTTAGCTTAAGTCTAAATCTAAGCTCACACGTAGCTTCAAACTAAGCCGAAGCTTTACCTTAAGCCTACGCCTAAACTTAAACTCATGTCCAAGCTCAAAAACAAGCTTATGCTTCATCTTAAGCTTAAGTCTTAACCAAAGCTTAACCTTCAGTCTACGAATAAGCCTAAGTCTAACACTACGCTTAAGACTACGTCCAAGCCTAAATCTAATAAGTTTGGGCAAAAACTAAAACCTGAGCTTTTGTAAATCAATGCTTTATTAGAAAATTATTCCCATACCTAGATCTAAAAATAAGTTTAAATGTAAGTCTAAGCATAAGCTTAAGTACAAACTTAAAAGTAACTTATAGTCTGAATATGAACTTAACATCAATCTAAATTGAATCGTAAGGCTAATCAGAAGCATAACACAATTTAAAAAACAAAAAAAATTCCAAAAATCTATACCGCTTTAAGCCCTTTGATCCGCCGCTTCCTCTCCAAATAGCTCAGTCGTTCAGGATGGGCCAATTTAAACCGCCTATCCGCCTCCTCCTCCCCATCCTTTTGTAACAATGGCTGGGTTTCGTCTTTAAGCGACATTGAGAAATAAATAAATGGTTTGCCTCGAAAAAACCAAGACTTATCACATTATTTAACCGTCTTATCACTCATGCGGTCAAAACCATTCGTAAACGAGTGATAGCGAGAGTTCAGACATCTGTCAATGGTTACTATGGTTAGGGCTGGTTTTTTGTTTAGGATAGTATAAAGTAAGCTAAAAAAGCAAAGGTAAAGGGTAAAGCTAAAATAGGGTAAGACTAAGCAGCGGTAAGATAGGGTAAAGTAGGATAGATTACGGTAGAGTAAGGTAGGGTAGTATAGGGTAGGGAACCGTAGAGTAAAGTATGGTCAAGTAGGGTAGAGTAGGGTAAGGGAGGGTAGGGTAGAATAGGGTAGGGTAAGGTAGGGTAAGGCAGGGTAAGGTAGGGTTAGGTAGAGTAGGGTAAGTTAGGGTGGGGGTAGGATAGGGTAGGGTAGGGCAAGGTAGTGTAGTGTGGGGTAGGGTGGCGTGGGGTAAGATAGGGGTAAGGTACGGTAAGATAGGGCAGGGTAGGTTAAGGTAGAGTAGAATAGAGTAGAATAAGATAGGATAGAGTACGGTAAGGTAGAGTAGGATACTGTAATGCTATTTTAATGTCATTATTAATATCTTTATTACTTAAAAAACTAAAATACAATAAATAAGTGTACAATACAAGCTACAACAAGATACCCGAGTATGTTTGCTTATTAATTTGTTCTTCGGCCTATAGCATTCTTCGACGTCTTCTTCAGCCGTGATGTTCCGGTAGTTCTCCAGTCTTCACATAGTATTCTAATTCTTCTTCCGAGTTGAGTACGATGAGCTTTTTGCGTACAATGTGATCACCTCCGATGGCTAGGAGTTGTTGGTGAAGAGCTAAAAAAGTATTGTTTTACTAGTGTATGACAGAATCTACTCTACCCTACCCTACCTTACCCTACCGTACCTTATCCAACCCTAAAATACCCTACTCTACCCTACGCTACCGTACTCTATCGTACCGTACCGTACCCTACTCTATTCTACCCTACCCTATCCTACCCTACCCTGCTCTACCCTATCCTACTCTATCTTATCCTACCCTACCCTAGCTAGTCATAGCCAGCCCTGGTCAGACCTAGTCAGCCTTAGCCAACCAGCCTTACCCTACTCTACCCTACCTATCATTTTCTAGTCCTACTAATCCAACACCCGACTCTGCCATACCTTACCGTATCCTACTGTACCCTGCCCTATTTCATCCTACCCTACCCTGCCCTATTTCATCCTACCCTACCCTATCCTAATCTATTTATCGCTTTTCCAGTCCTACCCTTGCAACGCCCTTGCTCCGTCCTAACCCTTAACCCTTACGATAACCTTACGTAGTCCTATCCTAGCCCAAACCTAGCATTACCTTTGCCTTGACCTACCATTATCCTAACATGTTTTCTAAAACTCTATCTTATCCTTAGTCTCTGTATCTACCCTTGTAAAATGGTTTGATACCCTACCCTTTTCAATAACGTAATCAACTCCCTATCAAAATACGTGTCTTTCAACAGTTACAGTACTCCCTTACAACAAAACAAGCCCTACTCACGTGGCTACAGTAGTATGATAATAATCTGGCTATAAGCCATGCTTAAGGCTTTGATGCACGTAGTATTATATCATATTGTATATGATACTATACATGTTTTTCAAAAAAAGATACGAATACTCCAAAAAGTAGTAGTAAGTAATACTTTGAAAGTTAGTAGTTACAAATACAGAAAACAGCTTACACTCACAATGTAGAAAGAATACATTACTGCAATCCTAAGACACTGTAACCCTCTTGTAGGCTCACGAGTTGGAGTTTAGAAGAACATTGTTTACAACATGGTTGTAAAATGACTTATACGATTTTTTGTGAAACAAAGCTTACATCTATATCTATACCTACATATATTGGACCCCGCACGAGCACACCCTTCAAGTCCCGCCACGACAACGATGGTCTTGGCATTCCGCACCTTGTAAAACAAAAGCTTTGTATCACAAAACTACAGTATTACAGAATTTACGTAAATTGTTCAAATAATTCTATGCCCCTACCCCAAATTTTTTTTGAAATGGAGCTCAGAATTATTTGAACAACCTAATGTAACAAAACTCCTGTATAAGATGTGTTATACAGAAGTTCAGCTGTATATCCAAGTTTTAACCAAATTACTTTAAAATCCACTTACTATTGCTCATCCCCGAGTTTTGGCTGCTCAAGAGTTGTTTTTGCAACGACGGATTAGCGGCCAAAGCGGCTCGAATCTGCTCCAACGTCAGATTGCGCTTCTTCCTCAACCCCAACGAACGTAACAACAGGTCTTCGCGTGGGCATCCTTCAACAAAACTGCACGTTGTCTGAAATAAGATTTAACATCATTTTGAAAATGCACTTTTTCAAAAAAAATTTATAAGAAGCCCTACCTTGCCCCACCCTACCTTAAACTACCCTACCCTACAATACCTTACCCAACCCTATCCTACCCTACTCTACCCTACCCTACCCTAGCCTACCCTACCCTACCCTATTCTAGCTATTCCAAGCCAGTCTTAGCCAGCCCTATTCAGCCCTAGCCAGACCTAGTCAATCTTAGCCAGCCTAGACATGAGAAACGGGCCGGGCCTGAATGTTATGTACTACCCTACCCTACAATACCTTACCCAACCCTACCCTACCTTACTCTACCCTACCCTACCCTACCCTACCCTACCCTACCCTACCCTACCCTACCCTACCCTACCCTACCCTACCCTACCCTACCTTACCCTACCCCACCCCTACCCTACCCTACCCTACCCTACCCTACCCTACCCTACCCTACCCTACCCTAGCCTACCCTACCCTACCCTACCCTACCCTACCCTATTCTAGCTATTCCAAGCCAGTCTTAGCCAGCCCTATTCAGCCCTAGCCAGACCTAGTCAATCTTAGCCAGCCTAGACATGAGAAACGGGCCGGGTTTGAATGTTACATTCGGCCCGATTTGAATTTTTCTCAAGGTCGGCCCGGCCCGACCGCAGGCCCGGCCCGTTTCTCATGTCAAGCCAGCCAGCCCTAGTCAGCCCACCACAACCCTCTGCAGCCTTAGTCAGCCCTAGCCAGTCTTAGTCTGTCCGATTCGTCCGTACTACTTATGAAACCGTACGCTACTTTACCCTACCCTGCACTAGTTATGCCGTTGCCCTGCCAATGCTTTTGCCTCACCGCATTCTACTCTTCCTATATTTTATCAGTACCGTAAGATTAAAACTTCTTGAATTTTGTTAAATTACAAGACCTAATAACTTAATGTACAGTACCGCCAGTTAATCATAGTTCAATTAAGCAAAGTGCAGTTACTTAAAACAAAAAAGCTTTTAAAATGTAAAACATGTTTTTTTAAGCTGCTTTTGTGTCTGTAAAAACTATTAACAGCACGTGGTTGTAAACATTAAAAACTGCTAAAATCGGAAACTACAGTAAAGTAATTTCATATAAGTGTCATAGTACACAAAGGGCAAATTGTTATAAGTATATCAGAAGAAAATGAGCCAGCCCGACCTCTTTTCAAATCTAACCCTACCCATATAATACAGTAACATGTATTACCATATCCTACCTTTCTCATTCTTTTAAAGCCACAACCTTAATATACGACCAAAAAGTTTTGTAACAGAACTATTGGCGCACCCTGTAAATTGACAATTGTGAAGTTACTTACCTGAGGGCAAGGTGAGAATGAGCAAATGCGAACCAGACAAGTATATTGTACTTGAGCTGTAGTCTGAAGCCTGAACGACTCCATAGTGACCCTAACACCATAATCAGTGTGAACTGGAGGACAAACCAAGTTAAAGTGATCAGCTTGGCAGCCGTCTTTAAGAATTGGGAACGGTTCCTTTTCCCATTCATTTAATGGTTCTATCGATTCAACTTGACAACCTGTTACTGACATGTAGGCGGCTAAACTAGTAGCATTAACAGAGACAAAAAATAATTTACAGTATCATTTATACTGCTTAAAATAACAATAATAATGATACTAACTAAAATATTGAAAAGTCGTATACTGTAACACAATAAAAACGTTAAAAAATTGGTAAGTTGTATACTGTAACACCAAAAAGTTTTAAAAAGTAAATAATCTTACGTGGAATAGCATAGTACGGAGTAAAAGACAGTGTAATCCTACTTCCAGAGACTACAGCGTCCACTGGATGTCCATTGTTGTAAATGTCAAAGACAACTGCTTCTTCAGCTTTTTTAGCTTGTTTATAGCCTGGTGGTCCTATCCTGTAATTAGTAGTTATTAGTATAAGAAATTACTTTTGTTATAGTACCTTAAGTGTTCCTATAGTAAAAAAATTCGCAATAGGGAGTACTGCAAATAGAATCTAGTAAAAAAGTAGAGCAATTGGTAGCACAAAAGAAGAAAAAAAAGTATTATAGATAAGGCGAAAGGTAAGATAAAAAGTTAAACCAAAAAGAGCAAAAGGTAGGACAAGAGGTAGTACAGGGTAAGGAAAAGAGTAAAACGAAGAATAACGCACGAGAAGAGAGAAAGCAAGAGATAAAGCAAGACGTTCACAAAACAATAAAGTAAAATATAGGACAAAAGGTAAATCAATATATAGAAGAAGGGATAAAACAAAGAGTAAAGAAAGAAGCAAAGCAAAAGTTAGATAAAGATGGGTATAGCAAGATGTAAAACAAAAAGTAAGAGTAAGGGATAAAGCAAAAAGAAAAGGTTAAACAAAGTAAACAAAAGAGAATTACAAGAGGTAGGCCAAAAAGTAGAAAAAAGATTGGGCAGGAGGTAGAGCAATTGATAAGGCAAATAATAAAGCAACGAGTAAAAGAAGGACAGTAAAAAAATAAAGATAAACGGCAAGACAGAAAGTAAACCAAGAAGTAAAGCAAAGGCCAAGACAAAGACTTAAAACTAATTTAACAATAAATAAGAATATACTTACACAACTTCATCATTGCTTTCATTCCGCCTACTTGGAGGCAGTAACCCAGCTTTAGCTAGAGCACTGACTGTGGTAGTAGTAGTAGTAGTAGACGTGCTTGTAGTCACCTTTGAAGTAACTTTTTCTGTAGTAGTAGTACTGGGAGTTGTTGTAGGTCCCACGGTAGTTCTAGCTTCATGAGAGCCGCTGGTACTCACAGTAATCTTGTTACTGGTTGGAAACGAGATGTGGGTTGAGAAACTGAAAAATCGTCATGATTACTGTAATTTTCTCTTTTTTATTTCAAAATTTTGAATTTTTTAATTTAAAAAGAATAAAAACAACTTTTTTTAAGCCTTAACAACATAATTAAAGTGCAAAAATTCAAAAATGTTAAAAAACAAAAAAACCGATAAATCAATAATCAAAGCGTTCAAAAAATTACTTGAAATTTTCTTTGCCATCAACCTTTTCCAAGGACTTTGTACCATCTAAAATGTCACTAACTTCCTTCAAAGAGTTTGTTTGTACCGTAATCACTTCGATCGAAGGATGTAGAACTACCGTAGTAGTTGGGTCTACCGTAGTTGTTGTAGGGGTTACTGTAGTAGTACTGGTAGTAGTAGACGGCTCTGTTGTGGTACTGGTTGTTGTAGTAGAAGCTGTGGTACTTGTAGTAGTGACAGTTGATGTGGTAGTAGGAGCTTCACTAGTAGTGGTAGTACTAGTAGTAGTTTCAGTACTAGGTGCAGCACTTTTCTCAGTACTCTTGTAGGTAATAATCTCCATGGCTTTGTGAGATGGTTCTACGGTTAGTACTGGTAATGGGAAGATATCTTTTGTCGTTGTTTCAAACTTTTCACTAATATCATCTCTAGGGTTGAAGGCTTCTAGACCGTGAGTACGCTCTCTTGAAGCACCAGTACGCTCTCTAGAAGCCCCAGTACGCTCCCTAGAAGAACTTGTAGTACCAGTACCTTCTCTAGAAGCCGTACGCTCTAAAGAAGCCTTAGTACCAACGCGTACTTTTTGAGATTTGGCCAAGAAGGTACCTTGATGTTCAGCATCAGCCAATGCTGATAAAATGCTGTGAACATCATCGTGTAAACTATGTGAAGCGGCCGTGGTTGTTTCACTAAACAATGGTTTTCAGTGCTATTTAGTATCAAAATTTCAGTGCTATTTAGTACGCTTCTTAAAGCTTTTCGAATTTTTACGGGTTTAGAATTGATGTTAGTTATGAAAAGCTTAAAAAAGCAAAAAAAAATTATAAAAATGACATTTTAAATGTTATATAAGGTTCAAAAAGTCTTGTCGTAAATTGTTAGGTATGGTAGGGTAAAGAAAGGTAGTGTGAAGTAGGGCAAAACCAAATTTTGGCTATAACATTGTAAGATATTCCGTTCAAAAAATAATGAGCTACTGAGCAAAACAAATTGCTATGTAAAATGGCTCATTATTTTTTGAACAACTTCATAATAACTATGGTAATCTCAAGGTCAAACAGCTAGTATAAGATGTTATCAAAAGCTTAACTGAACATGTGATGCCCAGCCCCACTCCAAAACCCACCTCTTCTTATTATTAATAGGACATCTAGCTTGATATGTCATGTCATCAGGAGTGATGAAGTACAACGGTTCCACACCATCAGTACTCAACACAACTTCCAGAATCATCTCGTTGCCTTTGTATCTAATACTGTCACTACAGTTCTTAGCTTTCGATGGGTATGGGAATAGAAGCTCAAAGTTTTTGGATTCTTTTGGCTCTACTCGGCAGGTAAAGAAGTCATAGAGGCCATAGAGCGCTCCAGTATACGGGAATTTTGAGTTCACTTTGACTCGAATGCCTTCTTCTTCACAGGTGTAGTTGAAGTTGAAGGTGTCGGAAGCTGAAAAAGAAGGAAAGTGATGTCAGCAAAGTACAAAAATAAACTAACCTTCCGTACCCTACCCTACCATACCTTACGCTACCGTACCCTACCCTAACCTACCCTACGCTTTCTTAAATTAACTAGCTTGCCCTACCCTAACCAGGATATTCTATTTTAACTAGCCTACCCTCTCTACTCTACCCTGCCCTACCCTGCCCTGCCCTGCTTTGCCCTGCCCTACCCTACCCTACCCTACCCTATCCTACCCTGCCTGCCCTTCTTTGATGTACCCTATTCTCCCCTATCCTGCCCTACCCTATCATACGATAACTTTGCTGTACTCTACCCTATCATGTCCTATCCCAACACTACCAAAAATCCAAAATATTTCTATTGGGTTACCTAATACTGCTTATATAACAATATACAACTAAATAGCCTTAGAGAAATTGCAAGAAACCGTGTTACGCAACTTTTTCTTATGTAATATTATTGTTTTATCTAATATTTGCCTCGGTGTAAAACGACCCAACAAATGACTGCGAGTGCTGGGATTTTACTTGATATTACTTCAAGGGCTTATTATCGGACAGCTTTACATTCGTTTAGTTTGAACTACCTACTTACCTTAAAACTTAGCCTCAGCCTAGTAGACATAAACCTACTAAGCCTAAGCCTACTAAGCCTAAGCCTACTAAGCCTAAGCCTACTAAGCCTAAGCCTACTAAGCGTAAGCCTACTAAGAATAAGCCTAATCAACCTGGCTTTACTAAGCCTAGATTACAAAGACTATTGCCTATTTCTACTAAACTTATGCCTTTTATAGTTGTTACTTATAGAAATAATCAGAAAAACAGCAAGCTTACACTTGTTGTACCATCTTAGGCTTACCTACCCTACCCAGCCTGCCTTACTTTATCCTACCATATCAAGTCTATCTTATCCTACCTTATCTTTCCTTACCTACCCTACCCTGCTTTATCCTAAAATGCTTTTGCTTTACCTATTTTACCTTACCAAGTAGTTCAAAGACTTACAGTTAAAACAAGCATTCTCATAGTAATCGATACGGAAGTTTGGATTATTGTTAATCTTCACCATCGAAGGCTTGCTCATTTGATTGTGTTGAGAAATGTGGCATACTAAAACAGACATTATATTAATAATACTGTACTAGTAGTGTCTTTCAAAATTTTTCTAAAAGAACTTTTTACAACGTATTTTACAATAAAAACCTAATTTAACCGCAACATAGAGAAAACGGCCGCTAAAGTTTTGTAACAGAACTTTTGGCGCGCCCTGTATATAAAAGATATTATGGTAAAAATCTATACAGTTATATAATAAATGTATAAAAAACATAAACTCACAATGACTAGTCCGATTGTAAGCCAAACTTCTGCACATGAATTCTCCTTGGTTCAAACACTCAGCCAAACAGTCTTCCAATTGGCCCACCTTCTTTGAAACACTCACGAATTCAGGCGACAAATAACGATCGGACAAGAAGCTGAAGGCGTAGTCTCCACTGCATTTTCGTTGTGCTAAAATTTTTCGATTTCTAGTTTATGGCTCAATGGTGAAATACGAATACAGTAATTTTAATTTTGGGAGAAGAGAGGTAGGGTAGGGAAAGAGGAGGGTAGTTAGAGGACGAGGAGAAGGACGGAAGAGAGAGGAGGAGAGGAAAGGGGAGAAAAATTTTTCCAACTTCTAAGATTTTTTCATAATTTGCACAAAAATTGTCATAGCCTAACTAAAAAAAATCACCCATCCACCCCCCCCAAAAAAAATATTTACCACGAAATTTTTTTTTTGAAAATGTCGAACAACTATGATCTACCCTACCATACCCTACTCAGCCTTATGTTTTTTTTGTTGCAGTCCTACCTTTACAATGCCCTTGCTTTAGCTTTCCTCCCCCTCCCGCCCCCACTTTCTCTTAAAAAAACCAAAATGACCCTGCCGGAACAGCCCAAACCTAATAATACCACTCACAATTTAAGCAGTACTTCCAGTAAAAGCTAAACCTCTCATCAGCTTCAATAAGTCCATCAGTTCGTTGAACGGCCGATGATTCATAAATGTGACATTCGTTATGATAATCAGTTGGGCCGACACGATGATTAAAGGCCGAACATTGTTGTTCTGCACCAACATTTGTTGGGCTTTCGTCTCGTTCACACGCAGTACGACAAGACTTTAGGTTGTATGGACCTTTGACTTTTGGAGGTAGATTTAACTTTACTCTCGGCCAGCGGACAAACGCTGGTTGGCATTGGTCTTTTGCTGAAATTAAGTTAGGTTAAGTAGGTTACGATTGATAGTGTTGAAAGTTCTTTAAAAAATTGGTAAGAGAAAGATAAGTGATATAGAACATAAAGCTTACCTGTAACAACTATCTGTTGTAGTATAAACGTTGTTACCAAGGAGATCAACAACATGATCTATAAAAAATAATTTTGAATAAAAATTTTTAAATCTAAATTAGCTTGAAAATATTTAAAATACAATGTTAAAACGAACATACAAGTAAATTTTACATTATACATATAATCAAACACTCTGCCCTACACATTATCTTACCCTTACACAAGCCTCTACCCTAGTCTTTATCTAGCCTTACCCGTCCTTGATTTGCCATACCCTACCCTATCCTACCCTACCCTACCCTCCTACCGTACCGTACCCTCCCCTCTAGCTCGCCCTGTCCAACCTTAGCCAGCTCTGATGATCCCTAGTCAGCCCAGCCAGTCCTCTATTACCCTATCTAACCCTAGCTAACCTTACTCATCCCCAATCTTACACTAAATTTACCTTAATCAAGCCTAGTTCCAACTACTGTAAGCCAAAGCACTACCCTAACCAAAAATTCGTAAAAACAAATCAAAATACAAAAAAAAACTGCGTTCAGCTCGCCCACCAATAACAACAAGCCCGCATAACCAGCTCAATAACCCCTTCAACTGGTCACTCCAGCATGAGATATCAACCGCTCTTCAAGTACATCTCGACGTCTTTACAAAAACATTTGAGGATTGAGAGGAACTGGCGCTAAATATTTGCCGACCCTAATCCGCGATTCTTTTCTCAAAAAACTTGTGTAGCCGCATGAATAAATACGGGTCAAGATTTCATCGTTTCCAATACGGTTTGTAGGCGACACGATAGGTGAATAGGGGGGATTAAGCGTGTTGAAGATGTATGAGGCATGGGAATCTTGCGCAACACAATGTAGACAGTGATTTTGTAAAAGATTTGAACTTAATAGTAAAAAATATTGTGAGAAAATACAAAAACTAAGTTACAGTAAGCATTTGTAAAGAAATAACGCCCAAATGTAACCTATTTTTTAACCCTAGCCTTAAAAAACAAGAGGTTTTATTAAGCCTAAGCCTACTAAGCATAAGCCAACAAAATCTAAGCCAACTAAGCTTAAGTGTGCCAAGCCTAAGCCTACTAAGCATAAGCCTACTAGGCCTAAGCTTACTGAGCCTCAGACTACTAAGCCTAAGCCTACTAAGCATAAGCCAACAAAACCTAAGCCAACTAAGCTTAAGCCTACTAAGCATAAGCCAACAAAATCTAAGCCAACTAAGCTTAAGCGTGCCAAGCCTAAGCCTACTAAGCCTAAGTCTACTAAGCCTCAGCCTACTAAGCCCAAGCCTACTAAGCCTAAGCCTACTAAGCCTCAGCCTACCATAACTAAGCATACTAAACCTAAGCTGATGCCTACAAAGCTTAACCTTTTCATCCGCTTTAGCACGAAACTTAAGCCTAAACCCGTTTTAAGCCCCGACATTTAAGCCTAAAGCTTAAATTCTGAAACCTTAGCCTTAACCACCCCACTCTATAAACATATATTCCACAGTACAAAGTTCCAAACCCCTGACCTTCGCCACCACATATGACAATATATAATAATCGGTCATGTAATGACAAATACCAAAACAGATCGGCACTCGACCTAGCCCGGCTTTTCCCTTTTTTTCCAATCTCGCCCAACATTGACCCAGTTGCCGGTCGATTTCTGTGTTCCGCTCGCGGCTATTCAAGAGCCCGCTGAACAGTTGTTGTCATGGGAAAAGTTGTGTGCTACAGAATTATGAGCGAGCGCCTCATTTTCCTCCCACCAAACGCAAATGAATCGGAAATTGAAAATTTTGAACTGAACGAAAGTGACAGTAGTTTCAGGTAGTTTGGAAACAAGTTGAACAATATATATTATACATACTATAGCAGTAGTAAGAATGTTCAAAATAAGCCGTAGATCCAGCCCAGGCTAAGGCTCTGTATTACAACTTTAGACTAGCTATAGTCTTACTCCTAGCTCTAGCTCTAGCCTTACATTGTTATCCCTAACTTAGTCCTAGAACTAGCACTAGCCCTGGCACCAGCGTTAGCCCTATTTATAGTTTTAGCTCTAGCCTGGAGCCCTAGCCCAGAACCCTAGCCCAAAGCTTTAGCTCAAACTTAAGCCCTAGTCTAGTCAAAGATTGGCTCTAGCTCTCTCATTTCTTACACTGGCTTTAGTTTCAGCCTTACTGTAGCCTTCTTCAAGCCATATCCTAATTCAAGCCTTATCTTCCTTCTTGCCCTACTCTATATTCGAATTAAAATTTTTTAAAAAATATTTTAAATAAAAAAAACAAGCCCAGATCCCTTTCCAAAAAACCCCTACGTCGTCATCTGATTCCGCCAATTCTTCGGAATTCACGCAGCCTTGACCCTAAGCGTCTTTAACCCTGATCCAACCCACTGCCCTTTTCGCCTGTTTTTCTAATCGTTTTTGTTCTGGCGACAAAAAAAACATTTGCACAAGTAATAGGGTGGTAAAGTTGCATTTATATTATAGTAATCAAAAACATTTATTAGAGTTTTTAAAATATCATTAGGTCGTTCAAATAATTCTGTGCCCACATCCCTCAAGGCAAATTTTCGGAACTAAAGGGCACATAATTATATGAACAACAAAATCATCTTAAAAACGAGAAATTTAAAGCAATAAAACACAGTGAAAACTAATTTTAACTAGACTTAACCCACTAGGCCCGGCCCTGCTTCGCCCTGCTCTACCCTGCCAAGCCCCGGTCTCGCCCAGCCCAACCTTTTTACAAGTCTAGCTTTAACTATCACGTTTCACTCTATAAAAAAGGTGCAGTTCAAGTCCAGCTGTTTATTACATTGTGCCGAATAGTAATTGTAACCCAAACAATCTGTAATCAAATTTATTCTAGTTTACTTTGCTTACACTAAGTGCAACTTATACTATATCAGATACATTTTGAGCATAATTGACACAACTTTTTGAGCGTTCAACTTCACTTACTATATGAAAGGTTGTTGTTGTATGTCGCATTTTTGTTTGTTATAGCCTTTGGTATTAGTCAAAAAGAGAGGGTTATATTTAACACTCCAAAAACTGTATAGCGGTAGGGTTCATCGTTTCGACTTGCCCTACTGACCAAGCCTTGGTTTTGGCTCCGGCACGGCCTTAACAATTATACTTGTTTTATACTTTTCAATCTTTCGTTGCGAGACCTAAGATTGGCTTGGTGGTTTGAACACCGGCCAAGATGTGCTTGGGTAAACATGTGCCAGTTAGGCACGTTCAAAAATTTGCTTTGGCCAGCCCTGGCCGGGTCTAGTGACCCTTTCAGATTAAATACGCCAATTTTTTGGCCAAAAGGCCAAAGACGCAAAATTTTAAAAAAATTTAAAAATTTGTTACTTTTGATTTTATTTGTTGATTATATTGATATTACTTCTCTTTTTATTACTTTTTTGTACCCAAAAGTTCTAGAACCTTTCTAATTTTACAAAAACACGGAACAAGAGTGCAAAATTAAATAACAATGTTATTATATTTAAAAATGTAATTGTTCGATAGAATAACCTTTTTTCAAAGTTTCATATAATTATATATAAAAGGCTAAATTCTATGATGACATTCAAATTATCATCGCGTGCATGACAATATAACTTGCAATTTTTAAAATTCTATGTTCAGTGCCAGACGGGTGATTTTAGTTTAAAGCATAGGACAAAAATTAGCTCTAGCCTAGCCCCCTCCCAGTGCTCAGCACTTCTTTAATAAAGCATCAATTATTTGTGATATCTTGTGCCTGAACGTTTACACTTTTCGGACCATCTAATTAGGCTTACGTAAAACCAAAAGTAAACCAACGGTAACACGTGGCAATTAAAAAAATTAAGGTTGGGTTTTAAAACCAGGCATTAGCTCGATTCACAGAAATATCACGTTTAGTACAGCCTTAAAATTTAAATATCTTTTAAGTATCTAGCACAACGTAACACATTGATGCGTAATTTTTTGTACTGTAGATGTGATGTATAACAAATCTCTATAGCTAGGGCAAGTGCTAGGGCAAGTGCTAGGCCAAGTGCTAGGGCAAGTGCTGGGCCAAGTGCAAGGGCAAGTGCTAGGGTAATTGCTAAAGTTAGAGCTAAAGTTAGAGCTAAAGCTTGAGCTAAAGCTTGAGCTAAAGCTAGAGCTAAGGCTATCGCTAGGGATAAGGCTAGGAGTTTGTGCTAAAGGAAGACAGCAATACTGGGGAAGGGATGATATGTCTAGACAAGAGGAACGGGCCGGCCCGGACCCAAGTTTAAGGCCGACCCGTTCCTCATGTCTAGGTATGACTTCACAATCCCTTTTTTTATTTTTAGTTTGTACTAAACTTCCGAAACCCTTTATTCATCAATTTCTTTAAAGCTATTTACTCGTGCAATTTACACTCATCTTTGTACCCTATACTTAACCTTAATATTATTATTTTTAGAATCGTACAAAGCCCAAAAATATTATTTATCATAAATCGAAATATTCGTAGTACGGTAACACTTAATTACAGTGTAATATCACTTCCTCTATTTATTTCTTCATCAATTAACACAAAATTAATTTTTATTTTAAACCGGTTTAGTGTACGCAACCTATTACTGTGTTCAACTTGTATACAAGACCCTAGATGTTTACTAACTGATGCTGGTACATTTTAAATTGAAGCCATTGGGTCAATAGTAACACTAATATAACTAATATTGCCGCTATAGGCCCAATAAGATCGCTGCAATCATGATTTGGGCCGAAGCGATTGCTATCAACTTCGTTTTTGTGCCAATGTTTATCATCAATCTGAGGTTGTTTTATGTATTGACAACAAGGAAAACCCTATTTACCTCTAGTTTTTACAAAATTGTTTCAATTAATTGTGGAATTGTAAGTCGAGTATCATCCTACCCTACTCTACCGTATCCTATCTTAACCTACCCTACCTTACCTTACCATACTCTACCCTAACATACCCTACCTTTATCGTGCTTTACCGAGGTGGCTAACAGGTCCGACCCCAAATTTTTTGACCGGACCAGGCCGATTTTGAAAATTTATTTTACCAGACCGAAGCACCGGTCCGCTCCGAACCGACAGCCATTTATGCCCTACGCTAACTTGTCCTACCCCACACTATGGTTTTAAACCCTTACCCCACCTTAGCCTTGTCATTTTCAGGACTGTGTAAACTTCCTAACGATAATCTACGTATCCTACATGCCCAACATGCAATTTGCATATGAAGTTTGGTTCAAAAACTTTGAAGAGTTTTCATTTTGGAATTCGGGTATTTTCTTCATAAACTACATGTTGCTTTATGCTAGTCAAACGGGAACACTAATACTAGCTGTTAATCGGCTCACAAGCTTTGTGTTCAAGTTTACCTACAATAATGTAAGTCAATTATCATTATATTGAGAAGACTTGCTTATAATGCCTTCTTTACCCTCCAGAACTTGCGTATCATGCCTTCATTATACCCCCTAGAATGATATTAAGTTATTCAAATAGTTTTGCGCCCCCCTCTTAAAAATTTGTCACAAAAATTTGTTTTGTGAGGGAGCACCGAACTATTTGAACAATCTGATAATCGCCTTTTTAAAACAAAAAACTCTTCCCCTAGACCTGAAAGACGCCTTACTAGACCCGGCTCGTCCCTTTACAGGACTAACTTCCCTAAATTTTAAAAAACCTTTTTATAAGCCTTATATTATAGTAGATAACTTAATTTTTCAGCTATGGAAACGATACTTAAACTACGTTTTATTAATCTATGTTTTGGTTCCATTTGCGTTCACATGGCATCTATTGTTTAACCGTACTCGGATTAGTACGTACGAAAACTACAAAACCTTTGCTTATGAATACAGGTTTTCATTTGGAGTAAGTTTGTCTTATAGGAAAAACGTTATCCATACACTTCCTTCTCTCCTTCCCTATACCTACAAATTACTCTCTTTTAATTATATGTGCCTAAGTTTAGAAATGTCCTTCATTTACCGGACTGTTTTTAAACTTTGTGACAAGGAAGGTACCCCGACCTTCCCCATCCTGATTAACATCAAACTTTTTTTGTCGAAAAATCATGTAAATATAAGATCTACAGCAATGTACTAAATCGTGCTTTCCAAGAAACCTCGAGAAAATGGAAAACTAAAAATTATGTTTTGAATTTCCCGTCAAATTGGCATTGTGTTTCAAGCTTTTAACTTTCTCATTTTTTCGACTGTTAATCATTTTTCTTTGATTTACTAGTAGAAAACCTTTAAATAAACCTACATTTTTAAAATTGTAAGCGCAGCTTGTCTCGAAAGAAAAATGCTTGAAACAGAATGCCAAAGTTGCTAAATTGCCGGGAATTTCAAATATTTAAAATTCATAATTCAAAACCGCAAGCTAAAGCTGTTTCGGAGTAAAACAAATTGAGCAAAGCTCAAAAAAATAACCTTTTTAAGCTTAAACACCACTATTTTTAGCTAAACCTAGCCGTCAGATCCTTAATATACAGCGTATTTACTATGGGTTGCTCATTCGTCATAAACCTAATAAACACAGGCCTTATCGTATACTACCATTTAATATTAAAACTTACAAAGGACGGACGGTTCACCTTCTTCATCTTCTCGGTAGTCATGTTCGCAGCTCATTGCTCATTCCTTTTCACTGTGGTAGGTTAACATTACTTTATCATTTCCATTGATCTTCTACAACATGCATTAGTTTATACATTCCTTTGTGAATAATATACAATCCTTTGCAAATACTAGTTTATCCAGTCCATTTTACAAGCAAAACCTTCTTGTAGGGTCTATATCAACATGGAGTAAACGTAGACAATGCCCGGTTAAGATGGATAGCAACAACAGAACTGATTCCAGCTTCACAACTCTTTTCATGCTTAGTCCCCGGAATATTATTAATAATAACTTCAAGTTATGTGCGAAAACACTTACGTTTTGTAATAGGCATTGAACAACGAATCGTCAGTATTACTGTTCTGCCAACGAGAAGATCAACATTACCTGCAAAAGTTGCTATTTAGCCTTGAATTTCTAATTTTATTAATTAATAAATATAGATATAAGCATCTTAATTAATAAAAAGAGATATTAACAACAAAAACCATCAATTCTCCAAAATCTAACATCAAAAATAATATCCACGGTAACAAATTTCGCGTCCCACAACGAAAACAAATCTCGCCAAACGCTGTTGGCATTCCGCTGCAAGTAGAAAACAAAGCGCAAATCTCTCGAATTGTTCTTACTATCGTTTTTGTCTGCGTAATACGAAGGAAAGTAAGTAAATTTAAGTAGAAATTTATCTATTTGTTATAAATATTATCTTTGGTATATGGGTAGCTTCATATTGGCTAGATATTTGATTTATTCGTTGTTTCAGAAGCGATTGTGAGTAATGTCAACTGAAGACGAGATTTTGAACGGCGCAGAGACTGTGCAGGTCAGTGAATACGATGAAGAAGCTTTACTGGGTGAAGATGATCTTGAACTGTAAGTTTTTTATTTAATTTGTTTGGTTTTTAGGTAGCCTTGGACAAGAAACTTATGATATCTAATTCGAAAGCACAGAACCTTTGTCAAAATGTATATACAAATAAAGCAAAAAATTTATTTCAGAAAAGACAAGTTTGAAGACGGAGACGATGATCTTTATGCCGCAGCTTTAGAGCCGTCTATTGATAAGGCTGATGAAGATTTGTTGTTGAAAGAAGAGGTCAAGGAGGATTCGGTCGAAAATCCCACAAAACCTGCAGCTCCTGTGGCTAAACCTGTTGAAAAACAACCGGTGTTATCAAAACCAACACCTACAGTGTCTCAATCATCTTACAGTAGCAATGCGAGAAGATGGCATGTTTATTTGGGAAACATGACCTGGTGGACTACTGATGAGGATATTGTTGTATGTTTTTTGTTGAAATTTTATGTAGATTTTGTAAAATACGTATTTTTATTGGGGTTTAATTATTTTTCAGCTTATGAAACATAAAGCATTGTTTTAACTTAAGTTATGCTGCATAACATGGCTAATATAGGTAGTCAATCAACTTTTTGTTATATCTTTTTGAAAAATAAAGCTAGAGCTTTAAAAATTTGTATAATTAGAGAGAATGCCTTTGGCGAACAATTTCAAAAAACAAAATTTAAAAATTTTCAAAAAATTTTTTTATAATCTCAAAAAACCTACATTACATCTCATGGTTAACATAATTTCGAATTTTTTAGAAAACTCTGGATGATTACGGCATAAAAGACGTTATTGAAGTAAAATTTGGTGAAAATCGTCAAAATGGTCAAAGTAGAGGATATGCTGATGTTTCTTTGACTTCAGAAGCATCAGCGAAAACAATAATGGATCGTGTGCCGGGAAGACAACTAAATGGTCAGCTTTTGACTGTTTTGCCATATAACAAACAATCATTGGCCAAGTTGGAAGAACCGGCCAAGAGAGCCGAGGTAAGGGATAAAATTATAGTGTTTTACGGGATTTGTTACCTAAAAATCGGCTGAAAGTTTTTTTTATGGCTAAAAAATCGAAAAAATGCCAAAGCGTGTGATGTTTTTTATATTTTTTGGTTTGATAAGGTAAAATACGTCTATCGAATCTTTTTTCTTATTAAAACCTTGTTTTAGGAGAAAAAAGAAGAGAAAAACAAACCCCCAACCATGCAGACCAGAATCATGCCAATGAACAACACCCCGCCCGTTCAACCCCCATCCATCCTTACCTTTGGCAACCCCGGAATGAACCTACGACCACAACAACCGGTAATGCAGCCACTAGTTCAACAACGAATCAATTTGGCCGCTCCACCCCCACAAATTCCGAATTTGATGGGTAATATGAACAACAACATGAATAATAACATGAACAATATGATGAACCGCCCACCGCCTTCATTCCCGCAACAAATGGCACCAATGCAACCACAGTCGAACATGGGAGCAGCGGCTACAATGAACAATGTTCTGAATCGGCAAAGAGTGCCAAGCACGAATCAGCCGAATATGAACATTCCAGCCGGATCTCACGTCAATCCACAGGTTTATCCTTACTTTTGTAGGTTTTTGGTGTTTTTGTGTTGTTTTAGGTGTTATATGATATTATCTTGAGTAAATTTATATGATTTTAGGTATTCTCAAGATTTAAAAAAGTCTTGTCGTTTTTTACAATGAAAAGTAATGTAAATTGACGACAAGACTTTTTTTTGTTGTTAGAGGTTATTAAAAATTGTTTTTTTTTAAATTTAAAGTTTAAATTGCTTTAAAATGTTACCTAAAATGCTATTTTGAACTTTTTTAAATTTTAAAATTTCAGCCCAAAGCCAACAACCACCCCCACGTGACAACATGGGCAATCCCCACATGAGTCCAAGTGAATATAAGGAGATTATGGACAGAAATCGCACAGTATCGTCATCCGCCATCTCTAGAGCCATGAGTGATACGGCGGCTGGAGATGTGGACTCGGCCGTGGACACACTGATGACAGCAATGTCATTGATCAAACAGTCAAGAGTGGCTAATGATGAAAGTTGTCGAGCTCTGATTCAGACTTTGCAGGTTGGTTTTTGTGGGTTGGGTAGCAAAAGTTTTGGTTTTTAGGTAATAAAATGAAATTTTAGTTTATTTTATGTATAAAAGTGGAACGTTTAGCTTATTTTAGGTATGAAAATGTTCTTTTTAGCTTAGTTTAGGTATTAAAATGAAATGTTTTGCTTACTTTAGGTATGAAAATCAATTTTCTGACTAATTTTAGGCATAAAATGTCTTTTTAGGTAACTTTAGGTATGAAAAATGTTTTGTAAAACTTTTTATAAAATTCTGTGAATTTTCAGGAAGCTCTGAACAGTGTTGAAAAACAATCATCATCAAGAAAGCGCCACCACCGTTCGCCGGAACGACGCTCCAAACATCGTCGCCGTTCGCGCAGCCGAAGCCACAGCCCATCCAGGAGAAGCAGACGATATTAACTGATACTTTTATCGTACTTTAAGGTAACGAGTTTGACATTTTTTCTATTTACTATGGTCTCTATTTACTTTTTATAAATTTTTTTATTTTTTCACTTTAAATTTGTTAAATTTATGATATAGGCTTGTTATTATTGCTTTATGGTATTTATAAGCTTTTAATGATTTTTTTTGTAATTTTTGATCATAATATTCTTACTTTTGTAGGTTTTATTATGTGTAATATCTTTTTAAGTTTAATAATTATTCAGCCTAATAACTTGTGTTTAACTTTATATATTGATCAGAATCTCGCTGTTAAAGTACTGTTGACGATCCTCAAAGCTTTACTATCCGATAACACTAATTATATACTACTGGTAGTTGTGTAGAAATGACTTGTAACTCATTATTTTGCTGTAAAAATGACTTGTAACTTATTATTTTAATGTAAAACAGAACTGTAACTTGTTATTTTAATGTAAAAATTTGTTTTTCTAACAGTACAGACGTTGTAAGTAGGATTTTTTATTGTAAAAACGCCTAATACAGTTGTTTTTTTGCAGTATAACGGTTGTAATCTTACTATTACCATAGTAATTGTTATACTATGAACGAATATATATAGTAATTGTTATACTATTACAGACTATATGTCATATGCCAAAGTTGTAAAACGGTTAATAATTGTTATTTCTTGTGTTTGAATTTCGAAAAGTTGTTGTTTTTTTTGTTAAAAATGATAAAAGTTTTTAAAATTTATATTGAAAATGTACGAGAGCGCGATGGACTTATAAAACAAGGTAATATAGAGACAAAGCTATAACTAAAGTAGTATATTAAGAAGTTTTTTTACACTTTAAGTATGAAACTGACATTTCATAACTTTACAGAGTGAAAAACGTAGTATACTGTAAAAACCTACCGTTTTTTAAGGTACAAAGCATAAATAACATTATTTGTCATAAAAAATAAGGTTTACATTTCAATCATCCTCACGTCTTAATATTTCTCTCATTGTACGTCTAAAACCTTCAATTTCAGGATTCATAACGATATTGTTAAACCCACAATGGTCCAATCTGTAACTCGATTCTTCTCCTTGAAATGGACGTCAACGTTACATTTTTTATTAAACTATAATCCAATTCTTATGATTAAGACGTATTCAACTTCAACATTCTCATGATCTTTTTATTTTCTAATTTTCTTAAAATAAACTATTATCACAATTTTGTTCGATTTATTGTATCACCAAGTATTCGAAACTGCCAGTATTTACATAGTTATGGGAAGGAGAGGAAACAATTTTAGTTAGGGTAGTAGTATAAGATGGAGAAGAAAAAAATTATAAAAAAAGTAGAAATTTATCGACTAATTGACAGTATATTGCTATATGTAATAGTAAAAGTCTAATAATAGCGTAGAGATCAAAGAAATTTGCGTTAGAGATCAAAATCAAGTTGAGAATTACTTAAAGGTACACGTTATAGACCCGTTTTAAAGTGCTGTTAAGACCGTTATTGTTCAATAGTTCTCACCGCGTTGAATTGCATTTAAAATTGCGTAAAAAGTAGTAAATTTAGAAAAAAGTTTAAAAATCATGGTAAATGGAACAAATGACCTATGTACATCTTTCTGCGCCATTTTATAGTAAAGTATAAGCCTAAATTATTTCACAGTAAAGAACAAGACTAATGTACAACTTTTTGACAAGAAAAACCTCTAAACAATCCCCACGTTAGACAGCCGTCGTATCGTTTCCCTATCAAAGATAGGGTTTAGACTTTGAGCTGAACGTCGACGCAGGAAAACGTCTTTATCTGATGTAGCATCGTCCATTGCTGACAAAGTATCACGCGTTGTTAATAATGCGGAAAACCACGGCGATTCCCATTGATTTTGATGCATGGTTTCTAGGCCTTGAAGCTTTGTGGGCTAAAATATTATTTTTCAATTTTTTGTTTGGTTTTGTAGCTCGAAGTTTGGTTGACTAATATTTATTTTCAGGAACCTAGCAGCTACGCAGAAGATCTTAAACCTATGCTCTTTTACAACTATTACTAGAGTTGTTACTACACGGAAATGGTTCTACCGCTACATTCAGAAGGATAATCAGTTGCTTATCTAGGTTTACAAAACAGACTACTGATATATACGTGTGACATTTACTCCTACTGAATAACTTGGAAATTACACATCTGGTTCTAGATGATCTACTGGTAAAGTTGGTTCTAACCCGAATATAAAAGTATTTCTGCAATGACTGACTGGATATTCTAGTAATAAATTCATTACCTCGGACTGTTTTTGTTACTACTACTACTACTACTACTACTACTACTATTACTACTACTGTACTACTAAAGCTATAAGAACAAATTAAATCTCTGTTTTTGCCAAAACTATAAAAGCAATAAACGGTTGACTAATCACAAACACCCCTACAGAATTCACCCCTACCTGGCTTATCAGATGATTTACCTTCATCTCCACACGCCGCCAACGCACGCAGCATAGGTCGAACATTTTGTCGCGAATTTCGGCGTTCACGATTAAGTGAGCCGGGCAGCGCAACGCGTTACCTATTACTGTTAGGAGGCTGGATAGGTCAGCGGCCATACGATAGGCGTGAGGGTAGTACGTTTCGTAGTAGTCTAAAAGTGGTCTTAGTTAAGGATTGCTAAGTTAATGCTAGTTATATGGGTATTAAGTGGTAGTAATTTTGAACCTAAAGGGTTATATTTAACTACAGGTGTATATATATATAAACTTACTAGGATAAAAATACTCTACAATAGTCATAAAGAATCCTAACGTGTTGGCAATCAAATACGTTGTAATGATGAATAACAACGTGTTTGTTGCCGACCGTAGATTCTGTTTTCTAACTTCAGTCAGGTCTTTGCCCATTGTTAGTTCAGTAATTAAAAACCTTAGTTGTTGTACGTTTTGTCGTCGTATCATGTACACAATGCCTCCGTTTAAAAATATTAGGGTAAAAAATGGTAGGGCTACTACAAGAACGTCGAATAGACTAGTTAAGCTGTCGGTAGCGGCCATTCTTTCAACGTTTAGCCGGGAAAATAATGAGGTACATTCTGGTCGACGTACTGTTACGTAGAGCTGTAATGTTTACATTATCTTTTGATATTGTTTTAGGCTTGAGGGTATTGTTAAGGGTTGTTTTTCAAAATTAGTAGTCTTATACCGAACAATATATAAGCTAACATTGATCTAACTTCTAGTCACATCAAGCTTACCGTAGGATGAAAAACCTTGATAAAAACCCCCATTCCGACTATCATCACCAACAAGATCCATCGTGTTCGATAGTCGAAACCACTGGTAGTCCAGTGTTTCGTAAGGTGATATCGCTCGTAACTCGCGATTACGAGACAAAACGTTGAGGTTAATTTGAATATCTGTACCAGTACTAATAGCCATTGGGCGTGTTTCAGCCATAATAAGTAGATGGATTTCCATAGGAATTGTTGCGAACTTATTGGGAGGGTCTGGAAGGTGGTTAGGTTAGGCAAGCTGCATAGAAAGTTTTTTTTTGATTTAGGTGTTACAGTAGGTCTACTTGACGACATATGGACTCTGGGTGGGGGTCGTAATGTCATCAAAAAAATTTTTTTTTGGTATTTGAAAATTTTGTTTTGAAATTTGTTTTTTTTGTTATAATACTGATTGCTTGTTTGAGTAAGGTAAAATTATATGTCTATGCCTAGGAAAAGTGTAAAGGTTGTCTAAAAACAGGAAGTCCAAAACGTGAGGTTTTTGAGTATTTTTCTTGGATTCTTTAAGTCATGCAAAAAAGCATGATAAAATAAACAAGGTTGTCTGAAGTGCAGTCTGGGTCTGTTTATAAAATTTGCGTGGTCAAAGTACTGATTTTACAGGGTGTTTTTTAAATCGTATTACAATGGGGGGGGAGCAAAAGTGCTACTAGAAGGTCAAAAAGTCTTGTCGTTTATTAACATGAAAAGTGCTTTTTGAAAACGACAAAACTTTTTACTTGTCGTTTTTTCAAGCCGCTATCCTAGTCTTACCCTGCTTTACTTACCCTAGCTTATCTTACCCTACTTTATTCTACCCTGCACTCTCCTAGAATACCCTACCTTAAACTTCCTACCTTACCTTGCAATACCCTACCCTACGCTAACTACCCTGCTTTACTCTACCCTACAACACCCTACTATTATTTTTCAAAAAGATATGCCCTTACATTAACAAAGAGGTACATGACATCAATAAGAGTGTCGAAGAACGCCACGAATCCCATGAAGAAGAACGGTGAATGGCGGTAGTTGAATTTGCCAATAAATAGATAAGCCAATATTGCATTCGCTCCACAGCCAAATATGGCAACTGCGCCGCCAAACACGGCCATAAGGCCGTAGCGAACGTTGGCTCGCAGTTGACCTTCGTCCGTCAGATCGGACAACTCGCACATTTTTACTGTGGTAAAGTGGGTAGGCTGGAACTTATGGCGTGTATTTCATTTTTAGAGTTGGAGTGGGGTCTGAAATTGAAAATTTCAATTTTAAAAAAATGTTTAAAAAAATTTTTTGAAATTTCGAAAAAAGTAAAAAAAAAGTTTTTGAACGTATATTCAATACTGGGGAAGGCAAACAATGCATATATTATACGAATATTAAAGAGTAGCTATTATAAATTACGATGCAACTTATTTTTTTTAGCTGAAGAAATTACATGCAACTATAAATCCCAAGTAAAATTACAGGGAAAGTAGCCTAGCTGCCCCGCTCAGAATCAGCTCAAAATTTTTCTATGAATTCTTTGTACCACTAATAGTACCCATAAAAAATTTTGACTCCCGTTTTTGCGTTTTAATTTTGAATTATTTTGTTTTCCTGTCAATTTGGCAAATTTGGCATTGTGTTTCAAGCACTTTTTTGACTTTCCAAACAAGCTACACTTACAAATTTAAAAATGTAGGTTTATTTAAAGGGATTCTACTAGTATACGAAAGAAAAATTCTTAAAAGTCAAAAAATGGCAAGGTTATAAGCTTGAAACACAATGCCAATTTGGCGGGAAACTCAAAACGTAATTTACTAATCTCGAGTTTCTCGAGATTTCCTGGAAAGCGCGATTTAGTACTTTGCTGAAGCAATTACATTTACATGATCTTTATATCTAAAAAGTTTGAAGTCAATCAGAGCGGGGCAGGTCGGGCACTTTTCTTGTTAGGCTTAAAGTAAAGGCAATCATTAGGTTTACTAAGCCTACAAGGTTCTTAAAATCCGTTTTTTCAATATTTTAAGGTTTATTTTTACCAAAAAACACAAAACAAAATCATTACAACACATAACTATGGTGTTTACACTTCCGCAAACCCCCACAAACAACTACTTAAAAACAAATTTTGTTGCAAAATCTTCGAAAATAGAAAAGAAAGACCTGAGGGCATATTTTAAAATAATTTTCTAAAGAACCAGAAGCAAATAATCACCTAAATTTATATATATTCTCTTGCTTAATGAACTGAATTATGCGTGTTAAAGTGTAACTGTACTAAAATACGGCAATTATTAAGTTTGACATGCAAAACTATAGTTAGTAAGGGTAGTGGTTGAACTATGATGTGGGGGATTGTTGGAAAAGAAAATAATTATAGTATTTTTAGAAATTTTAAGGATTTGGAAGAAAATAAAGCTTGTCCTCTCTACCTTATCGTACCCAATCCTGGTTTACGCAACCCTACCTACCCTAACCTATGCCACCCTACCCTACCCTGCCCTAACTCTCTACCGAACTCTACTCTCCTTATCCTGTTCTGCCTACCCTACCCATTCCTATCCTCCTCATAGTTTTGCCATATCATTATGTTAATCTTGCCTTGTTCTCTATACTAATCAACCTTGCTTTACCATGTCCGATCTTATGTTACCCTACCCTTCTCGGTCCTTCTCTACTTTTCTTTACACTGTCATATATTGTCTTACCCTATAATGTTCTATCATCCTTTATCATAATTCACTCTAACCTGTAATAACCCGCCCTTCATAATCCATACCCTATCATACCCTCATCCTGTTTTACTTTTATTCTACTCTACTTTACCCTGCGGTGAATTTACTTTCACTTTACCCTTGCCTTATCTAGACATGGGGAACAAGCCGGGCCTGAGAAAAATTTAGATTGGGCCGGGTCTAGAAATCTCGAAAAAGCCCGGACCAAAGATCCCTACCCGTTTCCACGTAAAAAAAATTTGGTCTGGGCCCGCCTGAAAAAAAAATCAGGTCGGGCTGGGCCTGAAAAGTGAGCCCGCTTGTCCTCCAAGTCTAGCCTTACGCTTTTTCTACCTTAAATCTATTTTACTCCTGCTCTTACCCTACCCTACTTTTTTCAAAATCTTAAAAACTGTAAGTCAATCTACTATCCTCCATATAACCTCTATAAACTTAATATCCGTTTCTGAACAAGTTTATCAAACCTTATCCCACCCTTTTCGAACATGAGGCGCGGATCCCTGGAAATGGGTTCGATTCAATTACTCATGCTGACTAGACGGTTAACCCGCCAAGAAACGAAAAATATGTACAATAATTGTAAATACGCCATTTGAATAAGTAATAATTAAGAAAAATGAGGGGAAAGTAAACACAGATTATATTATACAAGTGGGATTACTCTTCGGGCATATATTAACATAGTTCGAAAAATAATGGTGTTTGTTCTACTCGTTCAGTAGGCGATGCTATGTGTTGAAATATAGTTGTTTTGAGAATAGTGTTGAGTATAATACCGTTTGTAATGTTAGGGTAGGGGGAAATGAAGTAGGGGCATAAGGGTTAGTCAAATCAGGGCAGAAAAGGGTATTTAGAATAGAGTAGAGTAGGGTAGGGTAAGGCACGGTAAAGTAAAGCAGGGTAGAGTAGGGTAGACATGAGGAACAGGTCGTGCCCGTTTTTCAAGCCCAGCCAAATCTAAATTTTACTTAAGACTGGCCCGGCCCAATTTTTAGGGTAGGATTGGGTAGGGTAGGGTAGGGTAGGGTAAAAATCACAAGACTCTCTATCATAAAACGATACTACAAGCTATAACGGACCACCCTCAAAAAAAGTTTGTCTTGTGCCATGATTACCTATGCCGCCTCGTCAAACTTGTCAGTCATCTCGAGTTTCTCTCTTTGTTTTCCCTTCACCTTTGGCCTTCGAAAAACACTTCCTTAAAAAGTAGCAGAAGCCTCTTGTAACAAGGCTTATGATATACTTGGGCTAATGTTTTGGTAATAACTAATTAGCTAGCTGTACGAAATTGTTAGCAGAGAAAAGAAAGTTCGAAAATTAGTATACCCTACCCTACCCTACCCTACATTAATTTACCCACCCTAATCTACCTTACACCAAAAAATCTGCTCTACGCGACTTTGCTATATATGCTTTATCTTACCCTACACCATCCTTTCCTACCTTGTTCTACTCCACTTTAATTTATTTTCTGTCCTACCCTACATTACCCCAGTAAACCCTATTTTACAATGCTCACTTTTACTCTGCTCTATTCTAACTTTAAGCAAAATACAAAAACAACTAAAAACACCTGAACCACTGCGCTAGTCCTTGCCAAGATACATACAGTACGTTAAGAAGCATGCCCTACAATATTCAAGATTGGCAAAAAAGTAGTAAACACACATAAGAGTAGGGTAGGAAAGGGTAGGGTGGGTATGGTGGGGTAAGGTAGAGTAAGGTAGAGTAGGATAAAGTACGGTAGAGTAATGAAGGGTAAGGCAGAGTAAGGCAAGGTGGTATACATATAGAACAGGTAGGGTAGAATAGGATAGCTTAGGGTTAAAACAAGACAGTTCAAGACAAGGCAGAATAGATTAGAGTAAAGTAAGATAAGGCAAGGTTTAGTAAGGTAGTATATTACGTTACAGTAAATTAGGTTATGGTAAGGTGGAATAGTTTCTACACTGTCCACCCTACATTAGAAATAAGATAGTGTAGGGCAGTGTAGAGGTAGGCTAGATCACGGTAGTAGACAAAAGTAGAATGAGGTAGAATACCTTATATTTTCATAAAACAGTACTGCAGTCCCAATACTAAAATCTTATGACACCCCTCCTCTAAAGCACAAAACTCCTTTTATCACCTCTGCATCCCCCTCATATAACCCCAAGATCCGGCCATTATAAAGCTCTCTGAAGGAAAGCGCGAACAAAACTTATACATAGTTAATCGGGTCCAGAAACAAATGTTATTCAGAAACAAGCCGGATTCCAGCGGACTTAATAAGCCCTGTTCATTTGGCAAATTAATAAAGCACTTGCAACTTGCAGCCCCACTTTTGGTTCATTGGGAATGTTTTCGCGCTAGAATAACACACACCCAAAATAGACCGTTCTTGAAAAATTTATAAACAATGGGATATTGTTACAAGGCGTTTTTGAACGGTATTAGACTAATTTTTAGAAATATTACAAAAGTTTAGATTTTTCAAATCAAATTCGGTAGAAGGGCTAGGATAACGTTAGGTTTTGCTGCAGCATGACTGTGTAGGCAAGGTCAAGACAAAGAAAAAAACAAAGGCGAAAGAGAAGAGGTTGGGTCTAACGCTAACGCCAAGCCGAGAGTTACGTCTGATGCAAGAGCTAAGTCAAGAGCTAGAGCTAGAGCTAGAGCTAGAGCTAGAGCTAGAGCTAATGCTAGAGCTAATGCTAAAGCTAGAGCTAGAGCTAGAACTAGGGGGTAAAGCTAGAACTAATTTTAAGCCCAAGGCTAAAGCGAGGGTTAGAAAGGTTAGGATTAAATCCAACGCTAAACACCCTTAGAATCAAGTCAAGGCTAATTTTAAAGCCCAAGCTGAGGTTAGAACTAAAGTTAAGTCTAGGTCTATGGCTAGAGCTGGGAACAGGGCTAGGCATAAAATCAAGGCGAGTGATAAAACCAGTGTTAAAACCACGGCCAGAGTTAGGAATAGGCTTTGCGCTTCAAAATAGTAGTTCTAATCTGCTGACAACACAACGTTTTACTTTTATAATCGTTCTAATCCTGCTTACAGTAAAAACGTCAAAATAAAAAAACGGTTTTTTATCACTCTACCCTATTTTATATTTCTTTATCTTGCCATAGCCTATCTTAATCCGTCTTACTTTGCCTTACCCTACCGTTCCCTACAGCTTACCCTTTCCTTACCTACACAATCTTACACTATCCAATCCTACCTTACCCCCCATTTTACCCTAACCAACTTTACCTTACTCTACTAAACCCCCTTCTTTCTCTCGTACCTACCCTACTATTATAAGTTTGTAAAATACGCTCCCTTCATTTTCAAATAGAAGACAACGAAACTAAATGTGGAATAATTTGTGAATGCCGAAAAGAGAAACGCTAATTTGGCTGAATATCAAATCAAATGGCATTGGGACAAAAAAGAAAAGAACAACAGACTATTTGGGATTACATTCGAACAGAGATTA